ATGGGTTAATGGGTCTCTTTCTTCTTTTTTTCTTTTTAGTTTTGACCCAAATACCTTATTTAAAAATTCCCTACAAAACAAATTAAATTAAATTAAAATCAAATACTTTCACACAAAATTAATTCCACGAAAATATTTAATTAAAACCCAATTTATTTAACAATTATGAACAATTTAAGTGCATTTTCATACACTTATCACAAAGTCTATACAAGATTACAATAACACTGTACAAAGTAAATAAATATTTACAAATTACAATAATAGAATTTAATTTGAAGCAGAAGGATCATCTTAAAAATTAAAAGTTAATCTATTAAATTTGTCGATCCATTCTTAGCTTGCCGGTGAAATTGAATCGTGTAAGCGTTGGTTGGAACGATCTCAATCCTTGATGCACACCAAAGCTTCAACAATATCTTGTTGCAATGCGTTTCTCCGTTCTTCAAGTATTCGGCCGGTTGTACTGAATGCTAGTTCGGCTGCAACAGTGGAGACTGGGATCAAAATGTTGGTTACCGAATCAAATTCGGATGCGGAAGCGTGGGGGATGGGCGGATCAAGTATAACAAAAATTTTCATAAAACCTTTGAGATACTCTATAGATTATATTAATTTATGCACGAATAAATTAATCACATTAATTTATTGATTAAGAACTCAATTATGAATAATACCTGGCCAACGATTAGGATGATAACTTGAGTTCTTTGACCTCGAACAATCCTTGCCCCAAAGTTTTGTGTTTAGAAAACCAATGTCTTCCACGTTAATTCTTAGAATCCATGAAGATGTGTGTGTGGACACACTTGAGACAAAACGGATTAGAATAAACACTTGAATTTCTACAAATACCAATGCATGCACGATGTGGAATTTTTGGAGAAAATTTTTTCCTTCCCACAATAAGAGAATTTCGGCCACAATAAAATATTATGTCAAAAAATTGTTCAAAAATTGTGTCTCACAATTTTCTATCATTCTCTTATTTATAGAGTAGAAGTCAAACTTCTAGAAGGAATCTAATCTATATCTCCAAGATAAAGATTGTTAATTATCTCATATTTGAATTTAGAACAAAATCTCCTCTTCTCTTTTATCCATTATGGCCGGCCATAGATAAGGGATTTTATCCCTGTGTAGGCGCCAATATCATATAGGGAACGAAGAGAAAATCATTATTTATCCTGCAGTCTAATTTTGACTCAAATTCAAATTCCAATTAAAGTCAAACTTAAATTAATTTGAATTCTAAATTGAACTTATCAAATAAGTTTAAATGGATAAAACTAGATGTGTTCAAATTTAAATTTAAATAATCACATTATTTAAATAATAATTAATTCTCAATTAATTATTTTTGAGTGTTTAATTTTTAGAATTCCATAATTCTAAAATTCACATTTTGTCCTTTATGTCTTGTAGAATTACTAGGATGACGCGGGGACTAATGGACCTATAATCCCGAGCTACAATAAAATTAATAATTAATTAAACACTTTAATTAATTAATTAATTCTATTAATTCCAATAGTTACTCCACTATAAACTTGGAATTGCACTCTCAAAATTATAGACATAAATTACTTCTAAATTGTGAAGTGTCTATTCGATATTGTCACTGCGTATAGATCAATCCTCCATAAATAATTCATAATTAGAGCTAGGTGAAATCCGTTAACCTCTCCAATTACATCTTTATCCTTGAGTACCATTGATTTTCTAATGGACAGTGATTCATAAAACACATTCATGAATCGGAACTCCTACTAGTCCAAGTACCGAATCAACCCTCAAGAGAATTATTTATCTACTTCTTTCTCAAGAAGGAATGGATTCCATCTCGTATAATAACATTTCTGGCTACCTACTTCATCATGTCTGTAAAATACAAGGAATATGATTCAGGATCTCAGAATCTATACCGAATAAATCAAAAAACACAAATCCATAAATACGAGTCTGTTAAGGACTCAGGATTAAGATCATTCTATATATGACCATCAATAGACTCAATAAGAATTTCTATACTTAACATAAATTATTAGAAATTCATATTGTATATGTGTCATTGTTCCACATAATCTCATTATGGGAAATACACTCATTCAATATATCACCATATTAACAGTGCGGATAACACCGTTCCATTCTAAATGGAATGACATGTATTAATAATGTTTTAATTAAAGATTTCGAACTTTAATTAAATTCATTATGAACATTACTTTTTTATTATTATCCTTAAATATTATCCTCTCGTATATAACACTTATATACAATGTTTAAGGTCACATAAATAATCATGCTATTTTTATTGATATTCATAAAATATTCATAAATATATGCACATAAAATAAAGAATAAACACTTTTATTAAATAAATAATAAATATCATATTACATCTTATGCTTCTAGAACACCATTCGTAACACGGGAATAGTTTTTTCTCGGGCTGCCCGAGCCCGAGCCCGGAAAAATGGTCGGACGGGCGGCGGACGGTGTCTGCCCGCCGTGTCTGAAAATTTTCGGGCATCGGGCAAGCCCACTGCCCAAAATTTCAGCACTGTTGGCTCTACAAATTGCAAACAATTATAGATACACGCATATATAAATTAACAATTTATAACAAAAATGATTGTAATTCATAAAAAAGTAGCATACTAGAATGACAAACGAACAAGCTTTTGTTAATGATTGTAATTCATTTCATTTTGAGGGATAATATATTAATAAAAAGAAAGATTAAAAACAAACCAAATGATTTGACCCAAAAATGCTTTCATTTCTGATCCGTTGGCTCAATTAATTTTTAGAAAGAATCGTGTTGTATGGGAAAATGTGAAGGACATGTGGAAGAACGATAATATGACACGTAGCCTTAACTACTCCCCGCAAAACAACAACCCTCGACGCCTGGGGCTCCCTCCGGTTCCGTTATAAAGAACCTAAGTGAAAGGTCCAACTTAGGGCGTCGATTCCTCCTGGCGTCGACAGTTCATATCGTCGACCTTAGGACATAGAAATCTCTCGACGGTGGAACCAACAGCCAAGAAAGATAGTTGGGTTAAGCAACACTGGCGACGAGGGGAATGCTCTTTGGGAAAAGGTCTGACGTGGCAGATTGCGTATAAAAGTGGGGGATGACTGCAAGGCAAACATTTATTGCGAACCCTTAAACCGCCCCACAGGAGACATAAAAGGGTTACAGGGACGCACAGAGCCGTAATAGAAGACTAATTGACTGAGTGAACAGTACTCTAAGTGATTAGTGGGCTACGACTGGGCCTAAAAAGGGAGAGCACTTGAGTGCTTCTACCTACGAAGGAAATCAACCCAGCGAAGAAAGCTCCCAGTATAAAAAGGGCAAGACTCCATACAGAAAAGGGGTTGAGATCCAAGATAGCACAAAACGATTGATGTAAATTGTAATCCTCTCACAAGAAATATACAACCACAGTGGGTGTAGCTCTGATTTTATAGAGTGAACCACTATAAAATTCCTTGTGTTCTTTATTTGTGCATACCTTTTTATTTACGCACAATACATCCCACCAACAAATTCTCACACACATTCAATACTAAGGCCGGTAATCCAACGGGAAACCCAGAGGTATCCCGGCATGTTTTTGTTGACGAGAAATCACTGTCAACAGATCGAATAAAAAATTTACAATTTGCAATTCACAAACGGTGTTTTGAATATAAAGTATACATACTATTAATTGTAAAGTTAATCCAATCAAAAGTGATGGAGGCAAATCGCTCATCTTTAAAGCCGAATGAACTATATTTTTCTTTATCAATCTCTGCCACGATCTCTCAGGCGATGACGACCCTCAATCTTAGTTGTGTGGGGTGACATTTTCCTTGAATTTTTTACGGCAAGAGAGAAATTGACGGCGATAGTGGCCAACGGCTATAGATAGATCGAGGGGAAAGAGCTAGAGCAAGGAGAGAGAGTGAGCGCGAGGGGATAAAAAGTAGCGAGGAGGAGAACAAGAGATAGAAGTCGGGAAAGGGGTGAGGGAAGAGAGAGATAGAGTGTAAGTGAGGGGGAGAGAAAATGGATTCAAAAAATTAGAGTTTCTTAGGTCCCGTTCATTTCACCGATTTGAGTTTAAAATTTGAGTTTTGCTACAATAAAAAGCTCTTAGAAACAATCACATTTAATTTTTTTGCTACAGTAAAAAGTTCTCACATAAAATCACATCTCAACTTGAATTAAAAACTCAAATCAACGAACTAAACAAGCCCTAAATAACATTAATAGTGAGGGCATTTTTGATATTCTCATGATAAATTACATTTATCAGAATTATGCTATTTATTAATATTCTTAAAATTTTATGCTATACTTTCGAAGAAAAAAAAGACTTTATTTTTATTGATATTCTGAAAATGTTATTTCTTCATTTTCAGAAAATTTTTTATAAAAGATATTATACTAAGGGGTTGTTTGGTTGAGGGATTCGTACCCCGATTCAAATCATGGTTCATGGTTCGTTACAGTGTTTTCTCTCATAAAAAATACACGTAAATCGAAAATGATTCTAATCTTATGATTCTAATCCATGAACCAAACGTCTCCTAAATGTGTTTTGGGCCTGAATATTAAATTCAATCTGATTCGAAAGATGTCTAAGCGGGTTGATACCAAACTACTAAAAAAAAATTTGTTAAATTTATTTTTAGAATGTATGAGTCAAGATTTTTACTCTTTACTCTTTATTAATATTCTATTAACTTGTATAGTTATTTAACTAAAAAATATTAATTAAAAATTTAAATTTAAATTTAAATTCATACATTCTAAAAAATATCTATCTCACTTTCCCAACTAAAAATCAAACTGCTTTTAGGAAAAAAAAAAAAAAAAAAAAAAACAGACTACTACAGGTTAGGACGGTCTGTTTGCTGCCGCCTAAACTTACACTACTATTAAATCATCATTATAAGTTTTTCTCAAATTTTTTTTTCAATGAAAAAATCGTGACATTTCTTTCCCACCTAACCAAAAAATGACAATTTTTTTCTTTAAAAAAAAAATGTTACCAAAAAAGAACCACGTGCTGTCCTTGTGACAACCGTAAACGTGGGCAAGAAGGAATCCCCGTTTCCTCCGACAGAAGGTCCAGCGGCTGCCACACGGAGCTCCGATCGATCCCTGCCTTCGGAGTTCGGACTGACCCAACAACAAAACCCACGCACGCCTTCCTCGTCGGAATCAAATATCGTCAGAGAAGCTTTCCTTCGGAAAACCCATCCGGCAATGATTTCTCAGTTCTTTGTGCTCTCCCAGAGAGGCGATAACATCGTCTTCCGAGACTGTAAGTCCTCCTCTCCACCTGATTCACATCTTCCTTCAACTCATTTTCTTACTTTCATCTTCTTCTTCTTCCACGAATTCTTGTTTCTCTCTCCGAATTTTGCATTTTTCATGCCTGTGTACAAGTGATGGCGGTTTTCTGAGGGAATCGAACGGTAATCGACGTTGATCGGAGGATAGGTGGCTGATGATATTCATTGATAAATTGCGAATTTTGTCCTAAAACTACTATTTTTGATTCGTTCGCGAAAATCTGATTAAAATTCAAGCACTATATGGATTGGTTTTCTTGATTTTGATTTATGATCGCCCAAATTGAAACCCGAACAGTCTGCCATAAGCATTTCGCGTAATGTTTTGTTGAATGCATGCAGATCGCGGTGAAGTTCAAAAGGGAAGTGCCGAGATATTCTTCCGGAAAGTCAAGTTCTGGAAAGAGGATGGAGAAGGGGACGCTCCACCTGTCTTTGTAGGTATTTTCTAACTGATTAAAAACGTAATTTTTTTTATGCTTCATTTATTAATATGTGAGGACTGTGATTGTGCGAAAAAAAAAAAAAAAAGAAAAAAAAAAAACAGAATAGTTAGGGGAAAAGACATGATTTCCTACTCAAAGACAATAATTTATGATCTCTCCTATCCGGGCCATATACTTTAGTATCCCAAATGGAGAAATATTAAATATTAATGCTTTTATTTATTTATTTATTGCATGTATAAGAGTTCCTGACCGTTTCTTATATGTTTTTCATTGCCCACAGAACGTAGATGGTGTAAATTACTTCCACGTGAAGGTTGCTGGGTTGTTATTTGCTGCTACAACAAGAGCAAACGTATCTCCTTCTTTTGTTTTGGAACTTTTACAAAGGATTGCACGTGTCATCAAGGATTACCTTGGAGTTCTTAATGAAGATTCCTTGCGGAAAAATTTTGTGCTCGTGTATGAGTTGCTGGATGAAGTCATTGTAAGTGCACCCTCGTGTTACTCCTGTTCTTGAATGGAAAATAGCCCGTGTTTTGTGCCTTAGCTATTTTGCTGTTTAGTTAAGAGCTTTGAACGTCGAGGTGACTCTTTCGTTTCGTGCTAGGATTTTGGTTATGTTCAAACAACTTCAACAGAGGTCTTGAAGTCATATGTCTTCAATGAACCACTTGTGGTTGATGCTTCACGTATGCCGCCTCTTGGCCCAGCTGCCATTTTTAGGGTATTGTTCTATGATAAGTTGCATTAATAGCGTGTTATTATATTAGGAATTCACAGTGTTGCTGACTTTTCACTTTCACGTTCTACAGCAAGGAACCAAAAGAATGCCAGGGACAGCTATTACGAAGTCTGTTGTAGCAAATGAGCCTGGAGGTCGGAAAAGGGAGGAAATATTTGTGGATGTAATTGAGAAAATAAGTGTTACATTCAGTTCCAGTGTAAGTACTATATGTTTCGCCTCATGATTCAGTTATTATTTTTTTTTCCTTAGCAATGTTAGCATTTCACTTCATACTGTTATCTCTTCAAGAAATTAACTAGAAGTTGTGAAACAAGGTTACACGAGAACTGTGTTTAGCGTGTTTCTCAACCACTGCCGGAATAAGATGATGTTGGAGAAGGGTCCGGCTCTGAACAGCATGCTTTGTGCTGTTTGACAGTGGCATTCTGGAGTCCTACTTCAACTAGTGACGCCAAACTGTGATACAATCATCATCATGACTAATAAAATGTTGGTTATGCAGGGATATATTCTCACTTCTGAGATTGACGGAACTATTCAAATGAAGAGTTATCTGACTGGCAATCCAGAAATTCGGGTTGCTCTTAACGAGGATTTAAGTATAGGACAAGGCGGAAGGTCAATCCATGGTAAATGATAATGGGATGTTCTTTAGTCATTTAACTCGTGTGTTCTTTCCGTTTATGATACATCTTGATGAAATGTGGTGGTGTTCTTGACCAGCAGTGTTAATGCTTGTTGTCTGTTGAAAATAACGTGTTCATTTACTTTTGTTGACTTTTCCTGCACCATATGAATGTTGTGACTTTTGCTGCAGACTATAGTAGTTCATTTGGGGCAGGGACTGTTACTCTGGATGATTGTAATTTCCACGAATCTGTACGTCTTGATAGTTTTGACATTGACAGAACGCTGACCATGGTGAGTGCTATTGAGGTGGTGGAAAAAATGGAGAAATGTGAGATATCTGGAGTCTTTATCTTTGTTAGGTTTAATTGTACTTATCATGGCAGTATTTTGACAGATACCACCTGATGGCGAATTTTCCGTGATGAATTATCGGATAACTCAGGAATTTAAGCCTCCCTTTCGTATTAATACCCTAGTTGAAGAGGCAGGACTCCTGAAGGTGCGTAGAACTGTTTACTCATGATAAAAGTAGCACCTGTTTAAGTCATTCACCTTAAACTAGTAAGTTACTTTTCTAGGCGGAAGTAATTATTAAAGTGCGTGCTGAATTCCCCTCAAGCGTCAGTGCAAATACAATTCTTGTACAAATGCCACTGCCAGCATATACAATTAGGTAACTCCTGTTTTTGCTTCGGATGTCATGTTACTGTCATAACAGTTTTAGCAGTCTCATTATGTCCAAGAGTTGGGATTCAAATAATGAAGACCAAAATGCTCAACAATGACAGCACAATTGCTTATGGGCCTGATAGATTTCATTTGCTAAACAGTGTCGTTTTAGTTCTCTTATGTTGCATTGCATTCGGGAATTATACACGCTCTTTGAAAAGATATTTAAAAAGGAAAGAAACGGTAATCTTATTAACCTTATATTATCCTCTTTATCACTGAGTATCTCATCTGCGTCGGTATAAATTTCAGGGCAAGTTTTGAGTTGGAACCTGGAACAGTTGGAAACACAACTGATTTTAAGGAAGCAAACAAGAGACTTGAATGGGGGCTGAAGAAGGCAAGAATGCTTTCCTCCATTCTCTCTGAGTTGCATTGTAGATATAGTATGATTTGGTTTACATTTCCAGATTTTGTAACAAGTGTTTCATTTTGTAGATTATTGGTGGTTCTGAACATACACTGCGTGCAAAACTGACATTTTCACAAGAATCACATGGTAGTTGACTATTTTATCTATAATAGTTTGTTACAGTTCTCTCTCTCTCTGTTTTTTTTTTTTTTCTTTTTTTTTTGGGCCAATGCAACGAAGTTTGTACTTATGCACCTCTATTTCTAAATTCCAGGAAATATTTTGAAGGAGGCTGGACCTGTTAGCATGACATTTACCATATCTATGTACAATGCTTCAAAGCTTCAGGTAAGCAATCTAGTCACATCAGTTGACCGTAGTTTGGAAATTAGCTCATGGTATGATCAGAACTTATAGAAAATACTTGAGAGCTTCAGTGCTCATTCAATTTTTCATGCAGGTGAAGTACTTGCAGATAGTTAAGAAGACAAAGACTGACAATCCTTATCGATGGGTGAGATATATCACGCAAGCTAATTCATATGTCGCTAGGTTATGATGCCTCTGCCTTCCCGGTTTCTATGTTCCTTTTCGTGCTTGCTTCGATTTCTCTTGCACCTAACTTTTGCCAAAACTAATGTGGTAAACCAAAAATATTTTTCAGCCCTTAGTAATGTAAAATCTTTGCCCTGTGCTTCGCAGAAATGTACCTATAAACGGTAGTGGAGTTTCGACATCTAAGCTTAACTTTGAAGTTCCTACTATGCTTAAATTTCTGCTTCTCGAAGTTAAAAGTCCTTATTTCCTATTTCTTATATTAAGAACTACCACTGGTCAAAAAGCTCTAATCATGGGAGTTAAGCTATCCTCATCTGAGCTTCTTGGAGAGTGAGATGGGGAATTGTTGGTTGATACACACAAATCAATAGGCTTTCTTATGTTGATTGTTGGTGATAAGATAGCTAATGGAGTGTGCTTTTCTGCAAAATAGTGAATTAAGTACAGTTTTGGTCGAAAACATCGGTGATGGAAAGTGCCCGTTGACAATTAAAAGATGTTAAGTGAATTGATGTGATAACATGCGTATGCTATACCTAATATGTTATCCCTATAAGAAAACATATAGGTGGGTTTAAAGAGGAACTAGATTCTATTTTATCCCTAAACTAATCAAAGTTAGTTAAAAGAGACTTTGATGGTCTAATCTTTCGGTTATCCTCAGAATAGGTGATACGGAAATGTTCTTCAGAAAATGTGGATTCCGATGAGCTAAGCTGAAGAAATTAGGGGAGTATAGAATACTATAGAGATATACCATTAATCTAGACTAGATACTCGTGCAATGAATAAAGTTTTAGCCTCTATTCGAATTCTAGATTATTTTTGGCATGGAAAATTTATAACTGAGTAGCTTTAGGAATACGATTCTAGTTCCATTACTCTTTCTGTGAAGGCTCGTTTTCCTTTTGTGAATGACCAGTGTATTTATATATTGTTTTATTTTTGACTAATCGGGTTCGACAATAAGAATCGTGTCTCTAATCATTTCAACCACAAAATAGTTCGTCGAAAACGGGAGAAATTAACGGACGCTTTAGTTTAGATAGATTTTGTAAAGAAGGGGAATATTGCTCTTGTATGTTTCACTGCAGCATAAAGCTGTGTGATACTTTTGATTTATTAATCGCAAATTCTTAATCTAGAATGAATTCCAATTCAACGCAGCAGCCGGCCAAAACGATATGAAATATTTTGAGCTTGTTTGGAGATGCTTAAGCTTTCGGTTGGCCAAGGGATTATGCTGTGTCATAATTTCATTGGTGTTTCCTTTATCTTTTTTTTCTTTTGGGTGTTTTAAGCTTTCTACAATTCGTTCTAGAAAGATCGCGAATTTACTTTTTTGTGATTACGTAAATACATATTCATACAAGTTGGTGAGTTTAATGTTTTTATACGTAAATAAAATGAAGAGCTCTTTCAAGCAAAAATAAGATAAAATAAAATGAAGAGATCCTGTACTTGTTAGGAAAAGAAAAATGGACAAAAACATCAAAAGGCCGTTTACTTATATAACATGTAAGGAAAAAAAGAAAGAAAAATCGTTAGATTGTGCAAAATGAATAAAGCACCCAGAAAAAAAAAATAAAAAAAATAAAAAAAATTAAAAAAATTAAACCACGGGCAAAATGGGAACATAGTTCTATTGCTGGTATTTAGGTAACATAAAGATGGAAAAAAGTTTTACCCTGCTGACTGAACACAGATGGGCACTCTGGCATCTGATGATGTAGTTCCCCAACCACCAAGCAGAATGCCAAATATTGCTGCATTTCTTTTATCAACAAACAAAATCACCTGAATAATCGGTTTATATTGCGCCAAAAAGATTATAGTAAATGAATGGTTTTTATGTTACATTTCAAGAGTACGTTTGGTAGTTTGTATTGTGTATTGTATTGTATAAGGTGTATTATATTTTATTATATTGTGTTACATTATTATAATATAATACGTTGTTTAGTGTCATAATGTATTGTATAATGAGTTAAAATGTAAAATTTTAATTATTTTAGGGTCAAAATGTAATTTTTGTAAAATTTTGAGGTCAAAATATAATTTTTCAAAAGTTGAGGTAAAAAATAAAATTTTATAAAAATTTTAGGGGTCAAAATGTAATTTTACAAAAGTTTTGGGGTCAATATGTAATTTTAAATTTTGAAGTCAAATGTAATTTTTAATAGATATATGAAGCAATATAGAAGAAATTCGTCAACAATATAAAATTTGCATTGTGCCTCTTAAATTTTTCAACAATTATAAGTTCTGATATGATTTTATGTTGGTCCGACTCCGACCTCTAATCATGCCTAATCTCTACATAAATTATTGATCTATTATAAAATAATATAATACAATACGTCAAAAATAAGCCGTATTCAATAATACTGTATAAACCATATTAATTTATCGTCCGTAGTAGTTTATACAATATAATGGTCACACCAAATATTATATTATTGTATTATTATATAATACAGTAGTTTAATACGTTCAAACAAATATACCCCATGTTTATTTTTATTCTCGTTGTGCATTACGGCATTAGGTAGTAAGTTTCACGATCCATAGTGGATGAGCTTAGTGCTTTTATTATTATTGCTATAATTAATTTTTGACTTACCTTTTAGATGAATGTGATGTGAGATTAATTTGATAAATGCCCTTAAATTATGTATCTTAGTTTAACATGTCCTTGAAATTTAAGGAGGGTTCATTTGTCTTTTAAAGTATGAAAAGTGATTCAAAACATCTCATAAACTAATTTTTTTCATAAATACCTCCTAAACTATTAATTTTGTGTCAACTTGCTCCATATATTTTAAAAAGTTAGGTGGCAATTGACACAAAAATAATACTTTATGGGGCAAATTGATTTAAAATCAATAGTTTAAGGGCATTTATAAAAATATAAATAGTGTCTTGTCACCAATTTGTTACTTTTATAAATATGTGAGACATTTTGAACTGAAATACATATTTTAAGAAGTGAAATGAAACCTTTTTAAAGTTCAGAAGGTATATTGAAATAATATACAAAGTTCAGACACATTTATGAAATCAATCCATCTCATATATCTATCACGATGCCACCTAGACCCAACTATAACTTTGCACCTTTATTCATATCTGTTTATCTATTTTTTTTTTTAATCGGTTGAGTAAATTACCTATTAGTTTTGATTATTAGTATCTGACTTGTGTTATTTTCATATATTTTCTTTTTATAAAAAAAAAAAGACGTGTTATTTTCATATATAAAGAGCATGTTACATAATTGCACGTTATCACGTTGGTTCCAATAATTAGCTGGGTCTTCCTTGGATAAAGCATAAGAGACAGGAAAATGCTTGCTAATGGGGGGAAAGGGAGTTGAATCTGTTTTTACCTTTTTTCTTTTCGTTTTTTTTTTTCTTTTTCCTTCTTGGGAACCAAATAGGGTTCTGAGCGACATGTCTGGATTTTGATCTTTGTGAATTGCGATAGAAAGAGATGGGGAGTGTGATGCAGTTGGATGCTTAATGGGGTTTGACCGACGATCGTTACTCAACAAATTGTGTCCCTACAGCTCTTGTCAGGGACACACATTATTTAAACGTTTTAGGATGAAGTAGATAAGCGTCAATGGCAAAAAAATGTCCACAAATTGACACTAAAAAAAAAAAGGAAGGTAATATTAGTGGAAGGAAAAACTTAATTAGAAGAAAACTGATAAATTTTTATACTTTATGATAACCACTAATGAAAAGATAACAATTTAAAACTCGAATATATAGGCATACATTAATGTTCATATCAAGAGGTTTCATCTACATTAGTGATTATAAGTATAACCTAATGTAATTCTATACATAGCTTTACTATAAAGTGGAGTTTACTTTATGATAACCACTAATGAAAAGATAACAATTTAAAACTCGAATATATAGGCATACATTAATGTTCATATCAAGAGATTTCATCTACATTAGTGATTTTAAGTATAACCTAATGTAATTCTATACATAGCTTTACTATAAAGTGGAGAGGGAAAAAGCGATTCCAGCTGCATTGGCCATTAGATTTACTTTCCGTCTTTTCCTCTATTATTTTGTCTCTTAAAGTTACAAGGTTTGTCAATAGGGTACGAAATATTGATTTCTTGTAAAGCGCAATTTGAACCGTTAAAATTGCATGTATTATGTGATTGCAATATGATTTTCATGTGATCACAAATGATAAATAAAAGTTCTCTCTTATAACATGCTACAGTATGATACATCTCACTAGACTCAAAAAAAAAAAAAAAAAGTACGAAAATGTTGTCGTCCGATTGATGTGTCCCTGAAAATCAAAACAACCTTTTTGGTGTGATGCTGCGTGCATGGGCAAGAGTTTCGCCAGACAATAAGCTTTAACATATGAAGACTTTGAAATAAGCTTCTTTTTTTCTTTCCCTTATTTTTTTTTTAGAAAGAAAGAAGCTTTATATTATAATGAAGACTTTGAATTTGAATTCTTCTTTACCTTAGGGCTTGACCAGCCCCATCATGAAATTACATAAAGGTAACACAATTATCTTATTATATTCTTAATCCCTTGTCAAAATCTGGTTTGAGGTCAAATATTGCATGCGTTTATCTAAGTTGAAAGAGGTTACATGAGAAGACACTAACTATTTTAATATAAGGAGAAAGAGAGAAATAGACCAAGACTTTAGATGAATTAAAATTAATAGACTAATAGTTTACATAAGTTAATAAATAGGTAAACTTATTATTTTTGTCTATAACTTGTCTGGTTATGAACCACATAACTTGACAAATTATTGTCCATAATTCACAATTTTTGTCCGTAACTTGTCTGGCTATGAACCATAACTTGACAAGTTATGGCCTATTAATTTTTATAACTAAAAATTGGCATAATACTTTCTTAAGTTTTTCATATTGATATATTTTCTACTATTTCCGTTTAATATATATTACATATATGCAGAAAGAAAAAAATGTTGAAACAATTTGGCTCGCTTAGTTCGCTGATTCGAGTTTTTAATTCGAGTTGAGATGTGATTTTATGTGAGAGCTTTTTACTATAGTAAAAAAGTTAGATGTGACTGTTTCTGAGAGTTTTTTACTGTAATAAAACTTAAATTTTAAACTCGAATTAGTGAAATAAACGTGACATTGTCAAAGTCGGCCTCTTTATTGGAACAGTCTTTAAAAGCCAAGAAAGTAGAAACGCCTCAACAGCACATTGTCTATTGCGGTACTTGGAAGAGATCAGCTTCAGCTCCTTACACGACTATTTCCATTATGCTAAAATCAGTTCGGAAAACTTTTTTTTTTTTTTTTTTTTTTTTTTTTAAGACAAAACTCGATTGTGTAAATTGTAATGCTGTCCAACAGAAAAGGAAACAGAAAACGTAAGCACGATAATGGAAGAATTGGTATCTAATAAAGTAATAATTAGACAAACGATATTATTGATAGTGGGTGTCTTGCTACTTCCCAGTCTTAATTAGTGGCACATCGTTGATCATTACCATTTACCACTTCCACATTTATAAAATCATTTTTCCATGATTAGCTAAAACCCCTTAATTAGTTTAACGATAATTAGGACTAGACATTTAATATATATATACTGCACTGGCAGTTGGGGGCAGTAAAGTCTTGTTCTACATATTTGAGAGTTTTGTGGTAACGTATGAGAAGAACCTGAATCAGTATGTAAGATACAATTATAAACCGATATATAATATATATATATATATATATATATGTGTGTGTGTGTGTGTGTGTGTGTGTGTGTAGAACAATTTAGAACTTGATAAAAAACAATCAACGATTAGAACCATACATACTGGTAGGCTTTTTCCCTTTATCTATTAGAGAATTTTTATATATTTTTAGGCATGATACATTATTATACCTTTATGATATGCTAATAAAGTAAGTCTAATTATAAGAGTACGTTTGGTATATGAATTTTTCACAGGCTTAAACTCATAATTTTAATTTTATTATAGTATTTTTCTCGTGTAAAAAATTTAAATTTCAAAAGTCATAATCATAACTATTAGTTTGAGCTCTGGTTTGATCCCATATATCAAACGGGCCATAAGTGTCCGCTTTAAAAATTGTTTTAATAGAAAAAATTATAGAATTTACTTTTAAGAGTGTATGAGTCTGAATTTTTATTCATTATTCTTGATTAATACTTTTTGTTAGTATAATAATTTGACCAAAAATATTATTAATCAAGAATAAAAAATAAAAATTCTGATACGTGTATTTTTAAAGAATATTTATAAAGATTACTCAAAATAGTACAACATAAAGCCTTTGAAATTTAATTAAATAGAAAAAAAAAAAAAAAAAAAAAAAACCTTGCCTCGTGGTAGGACAAAACAACTTTCATATATATGAGCTAATTAGAAGAAGGGTGGGCATATGGTAAGCGAAATGCACATGTCCTCTTCTTAGCCCCACTCAATAAAGGAATCTCATCGTACTATCATCATGTCCAACCGTAGATATTAGTTTTTCTCTCTATTCTACATTTGCGTCTCTCTCTCTCTCTCTCTCTCTCTCCAACCGTAGATATTAGTTTTTCTCTCTATTCTACATTTGCCTCTCTCTCTCTCTCTCTCCCCTCTTCAACTCACTCTAATCACCACCAAAGTAAGTGCAAGGATTATAACAGGGTCATCAAGAGAGAGAGAGAGAAAAAAGGCAGGAAAACAACAAATCCAAGATGTTAAAATCTCCAGAACTCCCGGATTGTTTCTATCCAAATCAGCCCACTTTGGTTTGCCCAAACTCCCCAACTCCAAAGCATTCCCTTTACCTCTCCAATCTCGATGACCAAAAGTTTCTCAGATTTGCCATCAAATATCTCTACCTTTTCCAAAACCCCGTCAGCTCTGAGACTCTAAAATCTTCTCTCGCCAAAGTTCTTGTTCATTACTACCCATTGGCCGGCAGGTTGAGGCCCACTTCCCAAGATGATCAGAAGCTTGAGGTTGACTGTAATGGCGAAGGTGCCGTTTTTGCTGAGGCATTCATGGATATCACTGCCCATGAGTTTCTTGAGTTTTCTCGGAAGCCAAACAGGTCGTGGAGGAAACTCTCGTATAGGGTAGAAGCTCTCAGTTTCTTGGATGTTCCTCCTCTTATTGTTCAGGTATAAACTTATATTAATAATATCCCAGATTTATTCAACTTATATTTTTTGAAAGAGAAAAGAAGAAATATTATTGTGTTTTGGGGTGTTTAATTTATTAATACATGAGTATGGTAAATTTATTAGCATATTCTAAGATGGCCTTAGTGCGCCAATATCCTATGACGTTGCCAATTATAGAAAAATAGTATAGTTCCATAAGCACTTTGATCAACAAGGAAGTGGAAACTTTCTTTTCTGGTGATTTATAATTATATACAAAAACTTTATTTAGTAATTCAATTTAAATGGTTTTATTTTCTCACTTTCTTCAGTAAAATTCACTACTGACCGTAGTGAGCTGGTACAGTGTCACAGTCACCTGAAACGGGTGTTAGCTTTGTCTTTTTGATTGAGCTTTACCAGTAATATCATTATAATAGTAATATTGACTTTCCTTTCCCTCACTGTTTTTATCGCTTTTTGAGAAGTCGATCTACATGGATTCCCAGTCAGTGAGTTCCCCTAAGGTGGACCGATATGAGCACTGTTCGACTTGGATTTTTCTATTTTCGTTTCTTTTTATTTTGTCCCGTCTTGTGTTTATTCAAGTTTCTTCCTCCTTTTAAACGGATTGCATTTAAGTTCTTTTTTTTTTTTTTTTTCCCCCGCTTTTTTAAAGGTGAAGTGTTACTATCTTTCTTTTTTTATAAATTGTCTCGCAAGGAAAGATGATACACAAATTTTAGTAATTAGATTAGACATTTTTTTACACAATAACTTTAGATATTTTATTGTAAGTTTAGATATTTTCCCTAATAATGAATAATTCAAACAGCATGAGATATGGCGGGGGAGGACATAAACTTAGGAGGATGCACGACTGGATTCTACATTGTAATTTGTATAAAGAAAGAGAAAAAGAAAAAAAAAAAAAAAAAAAGCTATACGTTAGTTAGTCCAACTTCTTTTAAATGCCACTACTATAGCCTGTAATTGCTCCATTTAGTGTTGCTTTCAAGATAATGGTAGCCGTGATGTTTCCATCATTTAGCTTAACGGCTACATCTCAGTTCCATGTTTCATATCTCTCTCTCTCTGTGTTTTTCACCTTTTTTTTAAATCTACTTTTACCATTTGATAGGTGACCAATCTTCGTTGTGGAGGAATGATCCTGTGCACCGCTATTAACCACTGCATATGCGACGGCATCGGCACTTCGCAGTTCCTGCACGACTGGGCCCATCTGGCGGCAAAGCAGAATCTGGACCCACCAATCCCACTAGTCCACTCTCGCCACGCGTTGAAACCCCGAGCGCCTCCTCACACGCCCTTCTCTCATCCGCAGTTCACCAGAGCAAACCCTAGGCTCGACGGCTGCCACGTGGACATCCTAAAGTTCCTCCAATCCCAGCCGCTGGTCCCCACCTCCTTCACTTTCACCCCTTCCCACCTCCTCCGCCTCAAACGACAGTGCGTTCCGTCCCTCAAGTGCACCACCTTTGAGGCCCTCGCCTCGCACACGTGGAGCTCCTGGGTTCGCTCCCTCGACCTGTCACCCTCACTGACAGTCAAGTTACTGTTCTCCGTCAACGTCCGAAAGAAACTGAGCCCAGAAATTCCCCAGGGGTATTATGGGAATGCATTCGTGTTGGGCTGCGCCGAGGCCCACGTAAAAGACTTGGTCACGCCCAATCTTCACCACGGCGTCACCTCCGTTCAACAAGCTAAATCCGCTCTCAACGACGATTACGTTAGGTCAATGATTGATTTGTTGGAGGACAAAACTGTAAAAACAGACCTCTCCACCACCCTGGTGATATCACAATGGGCCAAGCTTGGGCTCGAAGATTTGGACTTCGGAGAAGGAAAGCCTCTTCACATGGGCCCGGTTTCCAGCGATATTTACTGTTTGTTTTTACCTGTCGTCGGAGACGTTAATTCCGTTAGGGTTCTGGTTTCGGTGCCTGAGAGTGTTGTTGAGAAATTTGAGTATCACATGATGAACGAGTGTTTGGATAAAGAAGAAAATGGTGGTGATGTTAATGGGTTACGTGGAGAAGATAATAATGGATTAATTTGAATGATTTTATTTATTTTTATTTTTTGTGTGACTCCCTTTATTGTAATAATTATGCTTCGTGATGGGGAGAAATTACTTTAAAGTAACTTCAGACTGTATTGATTAATGTATACCTATAAGCATGATTATTTAATCTGAATTGCATGTCTTAGATTAATCTCTTGATGGTTTTGATTAACTTTACGTGAGAGAAGTAGGCTGAACTACCTTAAGATTGATATTAATTAAGGTGCTTTCCTAATACATACATTAGTTATTTTTTGTTTATATTGAAAAATATTTGTTTCACATTTATGCCGTAGAGTTTTTTTTAATGGAAAATTATTCTTAGGTATAGTGGAAAGTCATATTTGAAATATGATTAAACATGAAAGTGACAAATTAAAACCCCACCAACTTACAGCTTTTTTTCAGAAAATAAAAAATAAAATCACCGTGTTAAAAGCCGGAAAAAAATAAACCTCAATTTGGAATATTTCATGGATCGATCAATATTTCCCATCAAGTGCTTGTCTGGGCCAGCAAGCACAGTTTGAGCAAAGGCTGCTTTCTTTCTTTCTTTCTTTTATATCCATTTCCTGTTTTTTTTGGTCTACATGTGTGTGATTAGTTTACTTGTACGGAAAAAGGGGCAAAGTCGGAAATATTTGGGGAAAAGAAGATCTAAGTGGTCATAAGAAATTGAAGCGAAAAAACATAAGTGGTCATTATCTTTAGGAAAATAATACAAGAGAGTTGTTAATTGATATATTCAAAGCTCGACTTCTATGTACATATAGATATGTCACTTCTCCCTTCGATAGGTGCAGCATCCAATTCCCCATCAGTTCATGCAATTAATTAATGGGTTTTACATTGGTTTTTGAAAAGTAATATTATTTCTTGGACAAATTACACTTGTTAGCTCTGAACTAACCACTAACCTTCTAATAAAATGTCCTACAAAATTTAAAAATAATAATAATTTTTTTTGAATAATTCGCTATTGACATGCCTTTTCTGTAAAAATTACTGAGACATTTAATTTTTATTTTATTATAAAATAACGAATTTACCCTTAAAATCCAGATGTACCAAAAGAAGAGGAATTATTTTTAGACATTTCTAATCTTTTTCTTTTTCTTTTTTTATAAATTTGTTTAATAACCCACAAAGTGGAAAACCCAATCCATTGTCACTTCCATTGGAGAGTTCTTACTATCAGGCAGGAGAAGCAAAGGAGCTCACAAAAATGGCGGACATGTAAAGCAAAGCTTCTCAGCAAATCGAAAGTTTCTCTCTCTTATATTTTTCCGTACAGCACACCATTAAAAATGACTACTTTATTTACTATAGAATGGTAAATACTCGCCTTGTCCGTAACAATTCCCTAAAGCAATGCATTGGAATCGGTCGACAGCACGGCGTCGACGCGGCTAGCAGCCATTCTCCAGCACGCATCAGAGACGGTGGTCCCCTCGGGAATGGTGAGGGCTGTGGACAACCTCAGCTTCTTGACGGTCCTCACGCCGCTGACAATCCTTCAGAGGAAATCAAATCAACATTAGAAGAAGCTTTACACAAGCTTTTAACAAGAAATTCCAAAATCATCGACAAGAAACTCACGAATTGGCGGGAGGAGGAGGAGGAGGAGACGAGGGCTTGGAGCCATTAATGGCGGCGGCGTTGTCGGTCGGAAGGGTGAGTTTCTTGACGGCGGTGGAGGGACCGTGCTTGGTGGTTAGGCTGTTCCTCTTGGGGCCCGCTTGGCTGCTCATCTTCTTGGGTGGGTCCTCTGTTGGAAAACCTAAGGTTTCTTTCTTCTGCAAACAGATTCAATTTCGATTGCTTTGGCTGTAAGCTTGTTGTCCGTCTCTAACAACGAATTTGATTGACAGAATTTGAATATGAATCTTCCGATATGCAGAGAGAGAAAGAGAGGAGAGAGAATTTTATTTCTACCAAAATTTTATTAGGGAGAAAATTATTTATTTGCCCTGAGAGTCACATACTACTAATATGATATTTAACGTTTAAAATTTAATTAAGAAGTAAAAAAAAAAAGGAGAAATGATAAGAACAAATTGTTCAGGGAAAAATTTTATTATTTTTAAACTTTAGGATGCATTTTATTAGAAGGCCAATAATTCATGGGAGACAAATGTAATTTGTCCTTATTTCTTATACGAGTAATACATACATGGACTTTTAATGGTTATATTTCCATTGTGACTACCATTAAAGATAAAAATTTGATGACATGTTGTGATAAAAGTCTAATCTCATTAATTATTATTAATTTTTTAATCGATTATCTAATTTATTATAACATTTGAATTAATATCTTATAGTTAATACAAAGTTACCCATCAATAGCTAATATCCATCCACATCTTATGAAAAGGGCACTGGCAACAAGGTCATGTGTGTACAATTATTTCTAGCTAGTGATATTCTATTTTCCATGTTCAAAGATTTATGGCACTATTTTGGTACTAAGACGCTAAAAGTAGAAGCAAATTAACACTACATATCGGCCAGCTAATGACTCATGAGCATTAGTATCAAAATTATTCAAAGTCCGATCTGATGTCGGCAAATCAAGGCAAGTAGTGCTTTACAAGCAAGCAAAGAACCTAAGACATTCAAGAAAACCAAGTTGAAGTTGGTATTTTATTAGACTGCACTTTAATTTTGAAAAGACACTTCCTCCTAATTTTCAACAACCACCACAGTCAATTATTCATATAATAGAATTGGGCTAAAATGAGTTGGCTAGCTAAGTTGGAGACAATAATAATAGTACACTTGTAGAAATAATTAACATTAGTTTTTTTGCTTAGTAGTGATCAAGGGGGATTCCCAATCTCACCCGGGAACAATTTTATCCCTTAAATAATTTCAAAAGGTGCTCCTTATCTCTTTCCCAAACGTGACTTCAACTAAGGAATTGTATATTGAATAGCAAAAGGTAGCCGACTAATGCAAGTGCCAATTATATTCCTCTACTTCTTTCCTTTAATTTGTAACCCTATTGGCTTTCACTGTTCAGTAAACTTGTACGTATATATTAGTGGCAATCAATATATATATTATATATATATATATGTATGTATGTATGTATATATGTGCAATAAGCAGTGCATCTTTCCCTTTAGTTTATTCATCAAAAGCAAATGGTTTGTGGTGCGATCTTCATCTTGCTTTTGAGTGCATGCCATATCAAAGAACCAATACAAAATGAACAACCACCCTGTGGATATAGCTAGTTAATTCGTAGCTAGTTGTTTGGAAGCTTGAAAAGTATTTATCAACAATAATTGCACATTTTCAAAAGCTAATAGATATAGCTTGGTGCTTGGTTGATAGATATATCAAATTTAGGTCCACGAGAATATTTTCATTTATTTCATCTTTGAAGTTGGAGTTAGGTTTGATGATAGATATTTTGAAAAGCATAAAATGTTAAAAGATTTTGTTTGCCCTTTTGCTCGTGCATTTGAGATTGTGGACATGACACTTCTGTCGCCTTCTATATATCATTTCCTCTATGCAATCTGATATATATACGCGTTGCACTGCAATTATATTCTGTAAAGTTTTGTCTCTTTGTTTCACTTTCCCTTTATGTACTATATATTGTATCCTTCTTCTACATATTTCAAATGGACTAAGCTTATAATAAAGTTTTTTCACTTCTCACAGTTCGAATTTTCAAAAATTATAAATTCACATAATAATATAGTTGATTTAAACAAAATATTAAGATTAAAATATGAATATGATTAAAAGCCAAAACTTGAGATATGATTTTTTTTTAAAAAAAAAAAAAACAATATGTAAATACCAATTAGAAGATTCCAGGGGATAAAAACTAGTAAAAAATGATTGTCTAGGGCAAGAGCATAAGGAGCCGGCCGGGCCTAATGTAGCTCCGTCCAATGCTGGCCATCAATTTGTTGCACTATATACCTATATGTGTATGTTAAATTATTCCACATCCAATACCCAATTACCAAAACTGTTTATATGGTCTCAAGAAAGGGGGGAAAAAAGAATAATGCCTCGTGAGGTTTGAATATGATCCTCAAAAGGTAAATACAATATATATATATATATATATATGTATATGTATATATATATGAATAAGAGCTTTGTGGTATCACCATTGGTTGTAGTGCGATAATAGGAAAGATGACATACCTGTATTCTCATATATTATTTAAAGATCAATTTCTATTGTCCGCTGTAAGTATAAATTTCTACATTTTATCAGTCTGTCAAAATTTAACATTTTGAAATGCTAGTTGACGAATTCTTTTTTTTTTTTTTTTAGGCCTCGTTCATTTCACCGATTCGAGTTTTTAGTTTTAAGTTTTTACAGTAAAAAATTTTCAGAAAATGTCATATCTAACTTTTTCTGTTACAGTGAAAAACTCTAAAAAAATATCACATCTCAACTCGAATTCACGAAGTGAACGAGACTTTAATAACTTTATGTTACCGTACATCTATATCATCGTAAAATACGCATGGTCTGGAAACTTACACATGGGCGGGATGGTAATTTTCGTGCAAGCCATCACCGTAAAATTTAGCCCAGGAGTCTTCAAAATCCAAAATTAAAAAACTTAAAAATTAAAAAGCTAGGGAGTACTACTTCAATTTAGGCCACTACTAGGCTACTTTATAGACCCACATGAATGTTAAAGTATCCCAATCATCTCGACAAATCTAAAGATCCTAATTTGATGCTTTATGGATCGACAATTTGAAAGCGCATCTTTTGTACTAATTAATTAGGTTACTTTATGTGGATTTACTTTGTTTTTTTCTTGATTAATATAATTGCTAGAACTAAACGACATATACATACATACATACATACATATATATATATATATATATGAATGAATTCTATCTCTAGATAGCAGCTACAAAGATTATAAGCAAATAATTTCCAGCTTGATTCTCAAGCCTTGAGGCTTGGTAATTGGTATATATAATTGGAACTGATATTTGACTCCTAAGCTAAACGATTCTGAAGTGACACCAAATCTGTTGCGCGTGATTATAAAGAATTCCAAGAGTGATTTTATGACGAGGAGCTATAGACACAATCAATTCATATCACACTTTAGATTAAGCTCAAATGATTGATCGAGTTTTGATCATTCCGGGAATTATAGTATCTCTACTTTAATCTGTTATTCAAACACATTTAAAATGAGTATAGATTCTCCGTTCACTTTTACTATTGTTTTAGATTAGTACTGAGCCAATCTCGTATGTAAACATAGACTAGAGATATCATCTTAAAAAAAGCTAATAATTAGTTTATGAGAATAACAAACTTGTTAATTATCAAAAAAAAAAAAAAAAAAAAAACCAACTTGTTAACATTGTACATGACTACATAGATAACAAAGTCAAAGTTAGCGGACTCTAATACTTTAGGCGCTATTTGGTATGCAACATAAGACGATATTAGATGGGATAGTTTTAGGATAATGGATTGGAATGTATGGAAAAAGAGAATTAAATTTTTGTTTAATCCAATACCATGTTTGATGTTGTGTTATTAAGATAAAGACGTTTTTACAACAAAATTTTAAAATTTAGGATCAAATTGTAATTTTTGAACTTGAAGGGCAAAAATATATTTTTTTAAGTATTTTACTCTTATAAAAATTGTATTTTGACTACTAAATTCCTAAAAAATTAAAATTGAGCCCTAAATTCTATAAAAATTTACAAATAGGTCCCTATAGTTACACGTTATCCCATGTTTCAGCAGAGGATAATAACATCCCCTTCTAAAGGGATTTGAGTATGGGTTGAAAAAATTTATCCAATCCAATCCTTTAAAAAGTTCACCAAAAAAATATAATATTATCAATCCTCACTGCACAGAGCCCTAAAATCTTGTGTGGATTTAAATTTTTACTTATTATTCTTAATTAATATCCTTCTTAATTAAATAATTATAATAATTAAAATAATATTAATTACGAATTACGAGTAGAAATTCAGTGCCACACTCTCAAGGTAATTTCAACACTTTTCTCTTTTTAGAAACAAAAGCAATAAAAATTGCAAGTGCGTCACATGCACTGTGCAGTGCAAGGTTTAATAATTGGGCTTCGTCGTTAGGACTTTCCTATTTGGGCTTTCATTATGCTACAAATTATTGGGCCTCTAACTGAAACCGGATATGGCCCAGTAATTCAAGAGTAGGCCCATAAGAAATTAAGATATGCGTGTTACGTGCTGAGAAAGAAAAGAATCTAAAGGAGAGTCAAGGAGAACAAATTTATAGAAAACCTGTGAAGGAATATCCCAACGGTCAGCGAAGGATTAGGGTTTTTTTAATTCCTATCTTAAGTTGGCGACACAAAGCAAACGACATTCTTCAGCTTCCTTTCACTCGCTTTCTCACCCCAATCTCTCCACTTTCCACTCGTTTTCCTCTCTCTTTCCATTTTCCTGTTTTTTTGTTTTTTGTTTTTGTTTTTTTTTGTTTTTGTTTTTCCTTTTGTTTCTCGGGAAATTACGAGGCAAAAGAGAGAGATAGAGGAAAAAAAAAAAAAAAAAAAGAAGCTTGTTGCAATTTCGTTCACCTTCGGTTTGCTAAACTTTTCTTTTCGGACTCTAGGGTTGGAGTTTCGTAGAACTTCAACAAATTTTCGGATACTAGGGTTCGTCCTTTCTCGTTAGGTGATTCTCTGTTTTTTTTTCCCGGCTAAAACATAAGGTAATTCTGGTTGAATTGGGAATTTTTTCTATCCTCTTTTTCCGTATTGTCTTCGGTTGAATTAGCAATTTTGCGGATTCTAGGGTTGGAGTTACGTATTGCCATCAGCTGTATTTTAGCAATTTTTTAGCGTTCGGTAATTCTGGTCGGATAAGGGGATTTTATTCATCCTCTTCCCCGATTAGGTAAATTGGTGCTTCTCTGAAATGTTTTAATCTTGCGCATGATTTTTTTGGGTTTTTTTTTTTTGTTTTTTTGTTTTTGTTTTTTTGTTCTTTGTTCTTTTATTTTTTATTTTTTTTTATTTTTACACTTTTGGATAGTTCATTGAGATGAAAAAGCTACCATTGCAATTTGCAGGTGAAAGGTGGCTGGGAATCTTCTGCACTAGGAAATGCGAGTGTTTCAACAACCATGATCGTGTTGGAAGAATCTCAATTCCCTGTGCGTAAGTGGTATTTCAGTAAAGACGAAATTGATAATCATTCTCCGTCTAGAAAGGATGGTATCGACCTGAAAAGGGAGTCACATTTGCGGAAGTTGTATTGCTCCTTTCTTCAAGAGATCGGCATGAAGCTAAAAGTGTGAGTGCAAGAGCTTCGCTTTAGTAATTATCATAGTATCTGTTATTGCTAGAAAAATGAAGAATGGCTCATGGCTTCTTTTTTTGTTGGTTCATTGTTTGATTGGATAACTTATTTCCGTGTTCTTATCTAACCTAATCGTGATCTTCTCGAGTCATGCTAAAACCGTTTTGCCTTTGCAATCTGCAATTCGTTGAAGCAATCTTCTAGTTTTGGAATTCCATCTTCAAGGATAGAGAAACTGTCGTTCTCAATATTCTTATGTTCCACGAATTGATTAGAAGGCCCAGTCAATAACCGTTTATAGTTGTTTCAAGCTGATCATTACTTCAGAACTTTGCATCACTATCACGTTTTAGATTTTCCAAGACACATTTTCTGCTTACAGTCCTTGTCTTCTATTCGATTGAATGTAGCTTATAGTGTCTTTTTTAGTTTAGTTTGCTTTTTTTACTTTTTAGAATAGCTGTTTGTACGTGGCGTGTGTCCTAAGATTAGAATCTCTATTTCGTTGGTCATTAAAATGTTCCATGTCATGTCATTGTTTAGGGGTTGATGATATGTTTCTTGCAGGCCTCAGTTGACAATTGCTAGTGCAATGATGATGTGCCACCAATTTTATATGCGCCAGTCTCTTGCTAAGAATGATTGGCAGGTAATACAATGTTATACAGTACGTTGTTGTTATTTAATGAGTAAATATTTTTTTATAGATGAGGAATGATTATAACGCTTGTGAATTTTTTCTAGACGGTTATTTAGGCCGACATTTGTATTCGCCTTCAACGTGGATAAAATCATAGACATGAAACCGCTGAAATGTATGAATTATGAAAATTTTCTTTAGAAAGATATTTTGTTTCTCTTAAGCAGCCATCGAACCTTTTTTTTTTCCTGAACTTTACAAATGCGTTAATGCAATATACTTGCATTTATTTATTTGTTTCTGCTCTATTTCACTTGTAACTCTTGTTAACATGGTAGTGCTACGTTGCAGACAGTTTCAACTGCATGCATCTTTCTTGCTTGCAAAGTAGAAGAAACACCATGCTTTTTGAATGATGTTGTGGTTGTTGCTTATGAGATGATGAACAAATGGGATCCTTCTGCATCTCGAAGAATCAAACAGAAAAATGTAAACATGTTACATGCTCGTACTATCTGCAACCTGATAAATTTGTTTGCTTCAGCGCTTAGTTACCACTTTTCTGTTATGCAGGAAGTTTTTAATAAGCAGAAGGAAGTAATCTTAGTTGGGGAAAGACTTGTGTTGTCAACTATCGCTTTTGATCTTAATATTCAGCTTCCTTACAAGCTGCTTGTCACGGCTTTAAAGAGATTGGACATTTTTCCTAACCTTGCTAAGGTGGCGTGGAATTTTGTTAATGATTGGTAAGAGCTTTTATTACTCTTAGTATTTAAACATTTTTTATTTTGTTAACCATTTTTGCTTGCCAATGGGATTGTAGGCTTCGCACAACATTGTGCTTGCAGTACAAGCCCCATTATATTGCTGCTGGCTCATTATTTCTTGCTGCCAAATTACAAAAGGTGAAACTGCCTAAAGAAAAGGGAAGAGTTTGGTGGCAGGAGTTTGATATTTCACTAAAACAATTAGAAGGTTTGTCAACTTTTGTCTATATATCCTTTTTTTCTTTCATTTGTCCTGAACTTATGTTGTTTTGAGTATTTGTATTCTTGGCCTGTAACAGTTACAATGTGTTGATTTAAGTACTATGCTCATTACAAAGAACGGTTATAGCTTGACTATATGGTTTCCCTTATTTCTTTATTGGTTGCCACATTCTTGTAGTTGAATCCAAGTCTTTACTCTGAACTGATTTCTGGCTCTCTGATTATTTCTTACCTCAAAAGAATTTTGTCTCGTGTAAAATATTTTTTCAGAGGTCATTCAAGAGATGCACAGATTGTTGGGGCAGGACAGAAAAGAAGCTCTTCCATCCACAGACAGGCCAATTCAATCTAAAGCTGTAGTTCAAAAGCCGTTAGAAATTAGCTCTCAATCAAGTATTTCTTCGAGTGGGTCGATTTCCAACAACCATTCTAGCCGTGGAAATTTAGCAGAAGAAAGAGGATCTACAGAATACTTGGCATCTAATTGTAGCCAGAATCTGATAGAGGGTGTTAACTGCACAACAGTGAAAAGTGTTTTACCATGCCGGACAAGCGACAGTGGTAGTGCAAGTACTGTTGTTGAGGAAGGGGATTATGAGGCGAAAACAATGGAGGTTTTCTCTGCTCAGAATAACTCTACTAAGATTGATGGTAACCGCATTAGGGAGACCTTGAAAAGGAGGAAGTCTGATGGAGTCATAAAGAAGTTGTCAGAAGCGATGGGAGCTGAAATGGGCAATGAAGCCTGGATAGAAAGTGAGGTAGAGAACAGAATAGAGACTATGAATAGGGCCGCCAAGAAGAAACACAGATGTTGTGAGGTTTAATCGAATTGAAGCTGGAGTTTTATGCCGCTCGTGAAACAGACAACTTCCCTGATGAGATGTGTACATATTGCTTCCAGCATAATTTTGTTGGCTGCTTGTTTTTTTTTTTTTTTTTTTGGCCATATATTGTGTCTTGACACGAGTTTGAAACTTGTACAATCTACGGTTTCTCTTTATATTGTATATGCAGGCATTCCACTTGGCGGTGCAATCTCATGTAGGAATTGCGACTTGCAAGGTTATATTATTTTTTGCAGATAGCATCTTAACCGTCGGTGAACAGTTTGGCTTGATATGGTAGTTATTCCTCATGGTGAAAATGAAAGATATATATATATATATATGTATTTATGTACTTCATTTTTGGTCCTTCTAGTGGCCACTTATCTGCTGACTTCAACGTATTAATCCCCAATCAGGTACTTGCTTTTTCAGCTATTAGTCTTTGTCATTTATTTATTTATTTATTGTTTTTATAACAATTTGAGGTGGGTGTTCACTAGGAATTTGTGAGTAATAAACTTGTGAATTGAAAAATATTTGCTAAACCGTCTGTAAGGATGATGGATGTTATTGGAGAAATAAATTAAGTAGCCTACCGGAATCTGCTGAGAGTTTTAAAGTAAGTTTTGAATTTGGGTAAATGGGATTTGGTGGAATTTCTAATGATTACTTCTCTCGGTACGATGTGCTTAGCAAGGGATGGGCTTAGCATTTCGGCCCATTAATATGGGCTGTGAGAAAAACTTTCGGGCTGGATAGATACTGTAGCGTGCCTGATTCCCATTCCCAGTTATCATTTCCCAAAACTATGACAGAAAGTTGATACCTGACTATTTTTAAGCGAAATTAGGGAATATTGTTAGATAGCAAAAGCCCCACCCAGAATGATTATAAGACAGTGGATTTATAAGTCATTGGATTCCCATGCAAGCGAGTTTTATAAGGTTGAGTTTTACTAGATGGGTTTGTAATAATTGGTATCGGAATCAATTCACCACGTTGGAGGTTTGAATGAATGCGGTTGCATTATAGACTGGATTAAGATGTGTTGGTAAAACCGTGAAAGCATCAAATATTAATAGTCGAGTGAAGCCGCCAAAGAGGAAAAGACTACCGCTAGGTCAATGTCTATAATGTGAACAAGCTTTGATTTGCGCCCAGATATGGATGGTGGAATGTTACAAAACTACTATGTCGAATGTGAGATCGGACGTAGTATGGGCTCTGGCCCTATGAAATAAGGCAACATTGGGAAGGCTGTTTCCCGATACAATGCAAGATCCGTGAGGTGACCTAGCTAGGAAGATGGGCATTGTGGATGGCGAATGTGGAGCGTGGAGGAATGTTACGTATCAAAAGTCTCACATGGAGCAAATAGTGAGTTTACAAGTGTTTCGGTTCCCTCCGCTTGCATGCCGATTTGTAACAAATATCCACTCTTTAACTCACACGTATAGTTTTGTAATTATTGTTATTATTAATATTATCAAATTCCTTTTAAGTTCCTATGTAACCAAAGAAAAATAACGGCGGGACTTTATAATTTAAGGACATAAATATCATCTCTCTCTCCAACTGAAATTCGAAGTTCTTGTAGCTAAGAGCACATCATGAAGAATATATCTATGACATAAATTTGACCTGATAGCATTGAGCACTGAAGTTTCTGGAATGGACAAATACGGTACTCTTTCTAGCTGGCTCCAGAATTTCTGTAGTTCCCCCCGTTAACTCTTCTTCGTCCACTTTTATTTCAATCATAAAAACCTTGTCTTCTTTTAGTTATTTTTTCCCCCCCTTTAAATTGTTTTGTTTTGTGTACTCTCTACAGATTTAACTTCGTACATCTTTTGTGTACAGCTATTTTTATTTATTTTTATTTTTTGGATATCTCATTTGTGTATAGATTGCTCACCCTAGTTTCTTTCTCTCTCTCTGCTTCTCTTTCCATTTAGGTATCATGGAAACACTGAACAACCCCACCGATTCTAAATCAAAATGAATTTATATATAGGTTATTGAATTTTTTTTTTTTTAACTTCGTACATCTTTTGTGTACACTATTTTTATTTATTTTTATTTTTTGGATATCTCATTTGTGTACAGATTGCTCACCCTAGTTTCTTTCTCTCTCTCTGCTTCTCTTTCCATTTAGGTATCATGGAAACACTGAACAACCCCACCAATTCTAAATCAAAATGAATTTATATATAGGTTATTGAATTTTTTTTTTTTTAAAGTATGACACACTTCTTAACCATTAGATCATTCGTTAATTTTTCATATTGATACATCCATTTTGACTTGTTTTATTATTAGTAGAGTATTTTCTCGTACCTCGTCACAACTCATCAATGTTACTGCATCAATGAATGAAGATAATGTTTCTTGATGGGCTAGCTTTCTCACGTGCTATCAGAAGGCAATATGGCGACTTTGTTATCAATTGACAGCGACTCAATGACTACTGATCGACTTAACAGGTGCGTTGAGCATAGTAGGCTAAGAAACTTTTTTCCTTTAATTTGTGATTAATAAAATCTGATTTTTTTTTTTTTTTTGGCCACTGTATAGCTTCTTTTAAGAAAGAAAATATTTACTATCAGTTTGACGCCTTTGACTGTCCACGATGTTACAGATGGATGGAAGAAACATTGTTTTTTCTTTTAATCCTGTAATTTGCATTAAAGTCTGAGGTTGACATCAACATAGGAAAAAAAAAAAAAGGAAGGTTTGGGACGTGAAATGCTTTAACATTCCTTCTATTTGGATGAGAGAAGCGCTTGTCATATATTGGTTGCTTTTGCTCTTTATTATCCCTCTTTGACCAACAGTTCCCCACATCTTGGGCACACACGGAAATGTGATATAAAGATTCCTAGCACAAAATATTCAACATGACACGGCAAATTTTATTTCATGTCACAGAGTTCCAGTGTTTGAAGATGTAGAGCCATGTTTGTGACCCATTTTCTATCTGGTCTCTTAGAAGAAGGAAATCGAAATGTGGGATCAATCAATCAACAAAAAAGAAGGGGAAAAAAAAAAAACAAAAAACAAAACAAAACATGTCCCCTATATAGTTCCTTCATAACCAAGGGTGTGTAGTGGATTCAAAACCAGCATTGTGGATCATAGGGTCAATTAATCATGCATTGTGATATAGCTATAATTTCTTTTAAAAGAGAAAATAAGGAAAAGAAAGGGAAAAGCTGATAGATTATAGGGAATCACATATAATAAGGAAAATAATGTTATTTATATGGTTGAGTGGGCATAGAAAGCAATGAAAAGCATGGCCCCATAAGTGTTGGATTTCATGCCCCTGAGCTTGAGAAGGCATATATTCTCCTGTTCCGGTTTTTTGTCTTCTTCTCAAGACAACTTTTAAATCCTGCAACTTTAGACCTCCTTTTAAGGGTTTTGCCAAATATTTGACCTAAAAGTTTTATTTACATATTCGAGTGAAAAAGCAACACCAATCAATATTAGACTTACATATGAATTAGAGAATAGTTAACAAGCAAAAAATAATTAGAGAAGAAAGGAAAACAGTAAAGCTAGCTAATTTGTGTCATGGTAAATCTCGTATTTTGCAGCACCAATGACGCATATAACTGAAATTATCTTAAACCATAAAATCTAGTGAAACTAAATTTTTAGGATAACCGATAACGTAAGTGATAAAGATTTTAAAATCACGCAACCAGCTAACATTTTCGTGGTCGAAGAAATTCATTGTAAATAGATTTGATGCCTTAATAAGAGTTAAAAATAAAAATAAAAAAAAAATAAAAACCTATTCTCCGAAGTAATATAAAGATGTGTTTTCTTTCGATACTAATTTTAGTAGATCGAGTTCGAAAGCTTCATAAAATTGCTCAAGCAATTGTTAAAAGCTAAAAGGAAAAGAAAAAAGAGAAAAAGGCAAACTTATCAGATGTTCCAACTTTAAAGATCCATTCGTGACAAAACCTAGACCTACATGTAAGGCCTTTCGAATCTTTTTACGGGATAGGCTTAGAAAGTTGGCCTAAAGATTTAATTGCAAAAAGTTCTTTGGCAATAGTTCCATCAGTAACGTATGTATACAACTAGCAAGATTGAGAAATTAGAGAAGTAGTAATGACTCTAATGAGGATTAATTATTTTGGTGAAGAACCTTCTAATCCACTCCCATAAACGAGACGGGGATTAAAACTTATTTTGAACTCAGTAAAGTAATCAGATATTATTTGGAAATTCGTAAAACTTTACAAGAAAGCATATTATATCTATGATAGGTGCCGCACATGTGTGTGTAGTGGCTGTTTGACCCTAGCGTTGACTGGATAGGACTCTTAAAAAAAAAAAAAAAAAACTGTTCTTTCCATTTAATGATGATGATGGGTCACTAAAGTCATCAATGATGATAAGATAAGAAGGAAATTTGTTTTTCATAAAAGAATTTACAAAATAATTTCATTGTACTTGAAGGATTTAATGTAGTCTCTCTAAGCCAAAAAAAAAAAAAAAAAGGAAGAAGAAGAAAAACAAACAAAATTAAACTACTATAAACTCTACGTGTTATTATTATTTTTTCTTCTAATACAACCTAGCTATTGGCCCCTCTGGTTTTCCAAAATGAATGAACTTTATTAATTTGCTCATTTTCTCATATTTATAATATTGCTTATAAAAAGACTGGAGTCAAATATAGTGCCCCTCATGACTATCTTTTGGAAAAAATATGAAAAGATTTGATTGGCTAAAGAAAAAACACGAGGCTAACGTTAGGTATACGGTATACCTATTGGCAATACCGGATACCCCTTTTTTTTTTTTTGTGGTTTGCTTCAAGTCTTCAACAAAAGTAAAGCCTTCTTAGGGTTTTGTGCCCCTTATAAGCCTTTATAGTATATTTTGTGTATTTGTATGATGGAGCATATAAATATGTAAATGCAATTATGTAGTTATGTTAAGACGAATCTTTGAAGAATCGAGGAAGTAAGAATAATAATTGGTATTTTTCTATTGTAAACCTGATGAGAGCAGCTTTAGTGATGAAATGAATCTTGGAAGATAGTGAGACTAGGAAATATGAAAAAGTTAAACAAGCAAAGGAAAGAAAGAAAGCACTCGATAAAGAAGAAAAGCTTTAAAGGAAGAAGAAAAAAATAGTTGCAGAAATATATATATATATTGTGAAATGGGTGGGCGTGCTTGTATAATATATAAGGGTAAGAGGAGAAAGAGCTCAAAAGCAAAGCTAAGCTTGCCCATACTCTCAAGTCTGATCTCACATTCTCCCATCAACTTTTCGTCTGATGTGAACTTTTGTGGGGCTGATCAAATTATTAAAGTCCTTCTTTATTGATGAATGACAACTTAATCATTCTTAATTAATTTTATTTATTTTGAGCTCTCTGTCTCTTTTTCGCATAAATAGATAAAAGATAAGAGATAAAAGTGAGATAACTTGTTCCTGAGATTTGTCATGGTCATTGAGAGGCTCTTAAAAACCAGAATAGTGTATATATATATATATATATACTAATTGAGTCGCTATCCTTGAGAATAATGTTTGGCATCGCAACATAAGTTTTGCATGCTAGCTTGGCCATGGTTTCTTATAACTCAAGAGTAGTAGTACTATAATACTCTTTAATTAGCAAATAATAATGATAATATTAATAATAATAAGTAAGATACACACAAGAAAACGCCAAACTAAAAACACCGACCGCAGACCAATTGAAACAAAAAATTTGAAAAGGGAATAGTGGGGAACAAGATGTAGTTACAGGGTGTATATCACAATTTTTGGTCTAGGAAATGGCCAAAGATTCTAGGGTTAGAGTTTATATCTTGCTTCCACTAGGCCATTTTATCATTGATAATTAGTACATTTTGCATATAAATATTAGATGAGATTTCTATTAATCTCAGTCTCAAATCACGCTCTGTATCTAATCGTCATTATTATTTTGAAACAACATGTTTCATTTTTCTGAAAAAGGTATTGTGATCATTGTGCAAGTATAATCAGCTGCATATATGTGTTTTTTTTATGACAAATATTAATACACACATAATCTTAATGTATCTATTTCGATACATAGGTATATTAAGATTGTCAGGATTTCCTTTTTTATGCGTTAAAAGTAAATGGATGCACCGCCTTGTGTATTTCGTGTGGCCAATAATAGCGGATAGTGACTGATTCTTTCATTATTTCTTTGCTGAACTTTACTGTCAGATTTCTATTGAAAGCAAATTCACTGAAACTGAAAAATAAAGAAGATGGAACTTTTTTTATACTATCTAATATTACACGCTTATAAGGTATTAATAATACTACTAATATATATATATATATATTATATGTATGTATGTATGTATCGTATGTATGTAGGTGTGTGTGTACGTGTTATTACACGCTTATAAGGTATTAATAATACTGCTAATATATATATATATATATATATTATATGTATGTATGTATGTATCGTATGTATGTAGGTGTGTGTGTGTATACGTGTGTCTTGTGTGTTTGCGCGTGTGTGGAGGCCCCTTAATACCATGCGAATAAGGAATGGTAAAAATATAGCATATATAATCATGGAAGGAAAATAACAAACTGACATAATTTATTTTTTTAATATATGTTCAAGTACTACTGCTGATTATTTTCATAGACAACGTCCACAAGTGAAATATGTGGCCTTTATTGTTGGTCTCCATCGAATATTCACAATGTTTCCCTTTATTCTTCTCCTTTCTTCCCACAGCAAAAATGCTGAGGCAGTTTTTGCTGAGTACGTGTAAAAAACACTTTCTTTTGTAGTTAAGAGGAAAAGTAGCTTTCTCAAAATTAAAAGGAAAAGCCAAAGTAGACGTCCTATATTTGACCACAACCTATATGTAACTGTAGTGTCGTGGAATGATCATCTGAGTATTAATGAATATATGCCCATTAATTTTTTAATAATACTATATCTTGTAGCGAAATCATAAAGATAATTATCGTGGCTGTTAGGAAATAACTTGATAAGGTTCATGATCAAGATGACATCACATACACACGATCTTTACACTAAATATAAAAGAAAAAGACAGAAAGATATATATTATACAAACCACAAATTAATATACTTCTTAAGTTAGACACATATTTAACATCTTTATTTCATTGAAAACTCTATCATTTGGCGCATCATGAAAATTAGACTAAAGTTCAAACCGTCATCTTCATGAAGGGACTTCCATGAGGCTGATAATTGAGACCCTAAGGCAAGAGTACATATATATGACGTGCTTCATCCAATGACAAAGCTTGGAGTACATTTTATGATCTGACAATTTATGAACTACCGTATTTCGTTCTACGCTAGCAAAGAACGCGGAAGTGAAACTTCACCAATAATGAGAAGAAAAGTACAATTTTTTTTTTTTTCCCTTTCTCCACGGGAAGAGATAAGAATAAGTACAGGGTAAATATTTTGTTTGTGTCTAGACGAACTGAGGGAGGGAAAGAGCTGTCTTGTAAATACTGTTGGGAAGAATACTGACGATTAAAAATTAGTAATTTGGTGTTGTGAAGTACTGAGTACTAATATTGCTGAAAAGGGTGTTCTCATTTTAATTGTATAAGGCTCGACTATTCCAAGGACCGCTTGTAATTGGACGCCTAGCCTGCCCACAAAGTTATAAGACATTATTCCAATTTCAAAAGGGTTCCTGGCTAGCTAGCTATCACTCCTAAAAGATAAAAGGGGGGGCTTGTGGGGAGAGTCAGAAAATAAGGGCAATCATCTACCTGCTTTTCTCTTTTTCTTTTTTTTTTTTTCTCTCTAATGATTCATTGATTAGAAACAAACTATATATATATATATATCATAAAACCTATTAATCAATGTTTTACGACTCAACTTATTTGAGTGAATTTTGCTGTTATTACAATTTAATAAATCCATTTAAAAAAAAAAGGAATCTTATTATAATTATCAGCAGATCAATGAGAACTTGTGATTTTATTTGTCACGGCTTATAGAAGTGTAGTTAATATATAGTATTATTATTGTGACATCATATCATATGTCATAATATAATAACTATATGTCGCTTGCACATTTGGTGGATCGAGGTGTAAGGGCCAACCATAAGGCCTAATTCGACGAATATTTTCACTAGGAAAGCACTTTATTAATGCTATGTTTGGTAGGAAGGAAAGAAAATAGGATGGAAAGAAAATAGGATGGAAAGAAAATATGAAAGTAATGGAAAATAGCAATGATGGAAAGGAAATTAATTTTTTTTATGTTGTTTGGTACGATGGAAAGAAAATGAGTTTACATTAACTTATTTGGTATTAGAAGGTAAATTGAGAGGAAAGAGAAAATCTTATTCGTAAATTACTTTTATACCCATGAATAATATTTGTGAAAAGAATGTGAAGGGGTAAAATTGTACTTCATATAAAGCCACATGAACAGTATATTTTTCCCTCTAAAATCCGGCTATAGTTGGAAGGATTAAAAAGATGTGGGTCCCATAGCCTAAAAATCTCTCATATTTTCCTTTCTACTTTCCTTTCCACTCTACCAAACAACTACTATAAGTTTTCTCTTTCCTTTTCTCTTCATCATTTTCTTTCCTCTCAATAATCCATCATACCAAATACATTGTAAAGCTCAAAGAATATACAAACACCAGTCACCTCGTTCCAAACTTTTCTTTTACCAAGGAGAAAAAAAACTGCCGAACTTAATGGTCATGTTTGGAATTGATCCCGTTTTTATTTTTCATGTTTTTCGAGAAAGACAAAATGAAAACGTTCTCAAAACGACATTTGGCGCAATAAAGACAAAAAACATAAATGAAAATGATTTTTTAGTTTAGTGTAAAATGAGAGAGAAATGAAAAACGACTATTAATCATTTTTCATTTTTTGTTTTCATTTTCTCCTCTCTCGAGCAAAGAGAGAGAAAGAGACATTAATGAGTTTTTTTACACTGAAAACAATCTCTTGATAAAACTACCAAACGCATTTTTAAAAATGATTTATGTTTGAGATTAAAAACATTTTCATTTTCATTTTCATACAAAAAATAAAATCATTTGGCACAATAAAGATAAAAAACAGAAATGAAAACGATTTTTTGATTTAGTGTAAAATGAGAGAAAAATGAAAAATGACTTTTAATCATTTTTCATTTTCATTTTCTCCTCTCTAGAGCAGAGAGAGAGAAAGAAAGACATTAATAAATTTTTTTATACTAAAAACAATCTCTTAATAAAATTATAAAATGTATTTTTAAAAATAATTTCTGTCTGAGATTAAAAATATTTTCATTTTTATTTTTATATAAAAAATAACATTATTTTAAAATAAATTTTAAACGCGCCTAATGTTTCGCTTTCTTAGTGGCATTAGCAGATGATCTCCCATCTTTTATATAAATTCATACGTGGCAAGACCTATGCATATATTTTCTTGCAATGTTACGACGTAAATATGATGTCAACTTTTTACGTAGGTGAATTCAAAAGTGAAAAAATAAAAATAAAAAAAAAATAACCAAGGTTGGCTGATGCACATCTGGCAGTACCGACCAAATACAATACATATACAGGGGTAACAAGTGGGGTTTGAGAGAGAAAAGAGAGCGTGTGGGAGCTATCATTTCAGTTCTGGGACCTTAGTTGACAGCCTTGGGATCGAAGGCTTGGATATTAATCATGTCATAGAGGAACTATAATCATCTTCCTGTAATTGCACAGAGAGTGCCCCAAAAAAAAAAAAAAAAAAAAAAAAAAAAAAAACCCAAGAAGCAAGAGAGAGAAGAGAGAGAATAAACAATTAAAGTGAGAGAAAGAGAGAGAGGGAGGGCATGGAGAGATGAATAAGTACCCACGCTCTCCTCTATATCTTTCTTTTCTTTCTTTTCAAGGCTACTTTAATTGTAAGATGTAAACTTGAAAGAGTAAAGAGGAAACTGATCATCATCAGAAAAAAAAAAAAAAGTTAGATTAGCCAAAAGCAAAGTTAGAGAAGGTATGTATGTTAGTAAGTGTGGGAGTCACCTGATCAACCGTTGTTTCTTTGAATACAGTGAAGGAGAGAGAGAGAGAGAGAGAGAGAGAGAGAGAGAGAGAGAGATTCCTGAAACAAAGCCCAAAGCTATATAGTAGTTATAGCTTACGCTCTTAATTTTTATAACTTGCTAGTACTCATCATCTTGGGATTCTCAAGCTTTAAAGATTATAGATTATAATTATAATCATCATGGAGTCTGCAAATCTCCAGCTCCCAGACCAGCTTGTTGGGTCTCCAGCTCCTTTGGCTGCCCCATCTTGCTATGGATTTGGAAGCAATCTTGCTAATTGGTCCTCATCAACTCCCACCACTACTTTGTAAGTTCATTTAACACCCATCTCTCTCTCTCTCTCTCTCTCTCTCTCTCTCTCTTCTAACCTCAATAATGAAATGAATATATTTTGGTTTTTCTTATAATTTGACTTTTTGAACATTTTTGGAATCTTTTCTTTTGTGTTCTCTGATTTGATGTTAAATCAATCAGAAAGTACTCCTGCTACTGTGCTCACTACTAGAATTCTGCGCAAGTATTCTGTTCTTGTCAAATATCATATCCCGTGTTTTAGTTTTGCCGGGTTGTTGAGCTAGCTTCTAGTTAGTTAATTTAATTCTTCTGTATATCTTTCTTTGCTGTTGGAATAAAATGAAACAACACTTCATGTATGATGACAAATAACACAGCATACAATTTTGCTAGGATATTTCTTTTCAGTCCTCATGGTAAAAAAAAAAAAGAAAGCTTTGCATTATAGTAACATTTGTGCTTATATACTTTTGTCATTTTGGTAAATGTGTTTATGCAGTAGTAATGTTACTAATGTTGGTGACTACTCCAACTCAAACTCCGATGGAATCGTCTCAAACTCACCAACAAGGCAGATAAGTACGACCGATCATCACCATCACCATCACAATATCCTAGTCTCTGATCATCATATTCCTCGCAACACTAGTACTACTACTTCAAATCTGATTCAGGACCTGGGCTTTCCCTGGTCTAGTACTAGTCATCAGTTTGCTGCTTACAATGACCAGCTTGCGAAAATCAAGGAAGAATTCTCGGAAATGTCATTTCCAAAATTCACAGAAATGCTTAACAGCCCCTTCAATAGTACCGATGCAGATTATGGAAACTCTCTCTTGACAACCCACATGATAAAGAACCAGCACAACAAAGATAATATTTTCAGAGATCTCAGTTGTAGTAGTAATAGTACTAGTACTCCTACTAATCGTCAAAATCCCTTGGTCAAGACTTTGTCCTCTAGCTGTCAAATCAACGCTCCAGAATTTGACCACTCCAATGATCATACAACTAATAGTACTAATATTGGTCATCGTCAGAGTAGTTCTAGTACTTTCGGAAAAGAAGGATTGGCCGTGGGTTGCAGAGGGCAGTTCAGCCAGATTTATCCAAGTGTAAATATTTCAAACTTGAGTACCCAACATTCTTTAATGGGGATGAACATGATCAACTTGAAGCCCGGTATAAATTTGGATCATTTAGCTGCCTCTGCAAGATTTTGTAATAATACGGACATGACTAGTACTACTACTTTTGGTCAGCCTTTAAGCAATTTTGGAGTTGACTCGATTCAGCAACAGCAGAGGACATCATATGGCCTTAGTAAAGCGGTAATTAACTAAAAATAATAAATTTATCCTCTTCTTCTTTTTAGTATACTACTGTTGTGATCAATACTTGATTAATTGGCCTATCTGTTTGGTAAGACATCGACTTCTATAAATGATTTATATGTTGATTAAACTTACTGATATGCAATTGAAAGGGATTGATAAATACAATACACCAGAAAAGGAAAAAACAAAAAAAAAATTTAGACTAATCTTATTGGTTGATCTTTATTCCTGTTACCTTCTATTAACTTTTTATATTTTTTCATGAACTCTTACAAATAACTATCTTTTGTTACAAGATTAGGCCTGGCGGTACATATATTATATGCATATTTTTTATCAGAATTTTTTTATTCACTCTCTTTTTATTAATTCTCACTTGTACAATTCCCTTCAAGTAAAAATTCTCAATTGTATTTACTCTTAGAATCGCCTTACTCGTTTTTTCCTCTATCTCTATTTCTTTTTATGGTTTTAATTTGAAGCTAAATATTTGTATTTATTCTTTGCATGAATCTCCAAGATATCATCCTTCAACAGTGAAATAATAACAGAAGCAAAGAGATCCAACTGTTTGATGGAACCAAAAACGAGTACCCAAAATAAGAAACCGCGGTTGGAGTCACGAACTTCTTCATGCCAACCTTTTAAGGTGCCATTTTTCTTATTCTCGAATTCAGTTTATACGTTTTTCTGTGTGTATTTTATATGTTAATTGTGGAGTTTTATGTACATTATACAGGTTAGAAAAGAAAAATTAGGAGATAGAATTGCAGCTCTTCAGCAGCTGGTCTCCCCCTTTGGCAAGGTAATTATTATCACATATAGATTTTCTATTAGTATATAAATATCCCTCGATCGAGCTTTTTTTTTTCCTTAAAAAAAAAAAAAAAAAAGTTTGCGTTTCATGATCACCATGAGTATCGTTTAATATTTGCTTCAAGATTAAGATTTCTTCTTCGGCGTAATTCTCTATCAAGAGGATCAAGAGGAAAAAACAAGCAAGGAGAAGATTGGTAGAAAATGAATAGAAGTTTAAGAAACTATTTTTCCGTTAGTTGGACAGCTTGTACTGTCTGTTTCGTTAATTAATATCCTATTGTCTTTGCTATATGGCTGTATAATTTTTTGCATGGTGGAGAATATTGCAGACAGACACAGCTTCCGTACTAATGGAGGCTATCGGATACATCAAATTCCTTCAGAACCAGGTTGAGGTAATTATTATTTTCAATTCAAATATTTCCATTTTAATTTATTACGTACACACACATATATATATATATATGTATTTATATATATAGATCCCCCAGTTAAATTAGGGTAGGGCTTACGGTACTTATCGGAGTCGAACAATATGCATGCTTCTAGAACCTTAACCTTATATACCCAAGTTAATGATTACTTAAGGTCACTGTGGGGATTAGAAGAATAGAAGTATTATATTTATTTATATTATATGAGGCTTTTTTTTTTTTTTTTTGCTTTAACTTCTAATTTCTTCTTTTTCTCCCCTTATATAATAGTGAATAGTGATCTTTGCTGAGCATGAAGAGCCCAGCAAGAAAAAAAAAAAAAAAAAAGAAAAAGAATTTTGTCTCGAAGGAAATATTCATGCAAAATAATACATTAATATTGTCATTATTCCGACCACATAATTGGATTATTTGGACATGCACAGTTTTATTTATTTTGTCACACACCTCGTTGAAAGTGAAGTATGTTAAAAAGAAAAAAAAGGGTTCAAAGCTGCCTACGTTTTATCATAACTCAACAAAAAAAAGCTACGATTCGAAGACCCAAGGGAGAAAGCTGATAATTAATTTTTTATTTCTCATATATTTATATATATAATTTATTTGGTGGAATTTTGTATCATATCAAACATGAGCGTTTAGTATCCATAATAATCATCAAAGCCAAGATTCTATTTCATCTTGAATTTTGATTTTAATTTGCACTAATCTGTATGTTTTATGCAGACGCTAAGCGTTCCATACATGAAGTCCTCACGCAACAAGTCCTGTAAAACCGTGCAAGGGGTGAGAGCTGAGACTGCGGGCACACTACTTCTGTTTCTTCGTACTATTATCACCTCATTTTTATTGCTACATTCAAAATAATATATATTAACGATTTCAGGGTCTAAAAGATCATCAAGATGACAATGAAGAGACAAAACGAGATCTCAAAAGTCGAGGACTTTGTCTGGTGCCATTGTCATGCATGTCTTACGTTACCGGCGACGGCGGCGGTGAAAGTATTTGGCCACCAGTACCTAACTTCGGTGGAAGAATTACTTAATTTACCATTTTATCTAACAGTAGATTTTCAACGTTAGATCTCTCTTTATATAGGGCAACTAAGTCATATTTATACTTCCTGCCACTTAATCTTTTTAAGCCCATGATGTTGTTCACCAGAACTTTCACTCTCTATATGGCTTAATGGAGCAAATTTGGTCACCCTGCAAACGAGAGTACTCCAGGATGGACCAAGTTTGATCCATTAACAAATTCATTATCATTATAAATGTATTCTAAAGGATCTTCTTGTTATTAGTTATCTTTCTTTTATTTTTATTTTTTAGTTATCTTTCCGCTGCTTAAGGATCACAATTTGACTGACGCACACATAATAAAATAAAGACTAGAGAGTAATTAACCTGGCTTCATGACAAGGACACTGCAGTTCTTGCACCATTTCCCCAGCTTCCCTTGGAACCAACCGAACAATTGGGCCGGGCCATCCTTGCTCACAGAACTACCTGTAAATTAGGCTGGGTACCTTTCTTAAATTAATTAAATTCTAGTTATTCACTATTTTCACTAATATATGTGCAAATTTGAATTAGATTTTCTACATATTTGAAATATTACTTAAAAGGAGATAAATACCCTTTTAAATAGTATCCCTTTGTGTTTGATCCACAAACATTGGCCTATTAACTTTTAGTCAAATAACTATATTAGTTAAAAGAGTATTAATCTCATGCAGCATTTGCACGATTTATGAATAAGTTGAGCAATTTTCACTTCCTCTGATTCACCCAAAAACTTTGCATTCTTCTTATTGGGCCACAGTAACCTAGCATTCCCAACCCGTACAGAACCCAAATTTTGTAGGAAGTACATCTCAAAATTTTCAAGGAAGAATGCTCCCGATCTAATGAGGCAGTATAAACTATAAAGATTTATATTATTTCTTAAGCACTAAAAAGATTTTTGAATCTACTTTTCTCTTCATACTAGTTTATCTTCACTCATGCGATGCACGTGGAGGGTAATCTGTGTGTTAAGTTTTAATCACCATGTCATTATTAAAAGCATATACAATCTCAATAAGGAAGAAAATGAAAACAAAAAATAGAGTTTTAGACAAAAAGCAAAAAAAAAAAAGGTCAAAAAAGACAAATGAAGAAATAAATAAACTTTAAGATAAAATGGAAAAAGAAACGAAACTAAAGTTTCATGGAAAAATAAAAGGAGGAGTAAAAAGGACCAAAATGAAGAAATAAATAGGTTTTAGGGCAAAAAAAATTCAAACAAAAAATAAATTTAAAAAAATGAAAATTCAGGACAAAAAAAAGGTTAAAAAAAGGACTAAAATTAAGAAATAAATGAGTTTTAGCGCAAAAAGAACCGAAACGAAAAAAATAAAGTTTCAGGGTAAAAATAAAAAAAATGTCAAAAAGGACCAAAATAAAGAAATAAATAAGTTTTAGGGCAAAAAGAACTAAAAAGAAAAATAAAATAAAATTTTAGGAAAAAATAAAGAAACGGATAAAAAAAGAACTAAAATGAAAAAATAAATAAGGGTGTGTTTGGTAAGGGGATTCGTACCCTGATTCGAATCATGGTTCATGGTTCACTACAGTGTTTTCTCTCACAAAAAATACACGTAAATTAAAAATGATTTTAATATCATGATTTTAATCCATGAACCAAACGTCTCCTAAGTTTTAGGGTAAAAACAGAGAAAAGTTAAAAGGAAAAAAGATGAAATTTCAGGATAAAATAAAAAAAGGTCAAAAAGGACCAAAAGAAAAAAAAATGAGTTCTAGGACAAAAAGAACTTAAAATGAAAAAAAAAATAAAGTCTCAAGGTAACAATAAAAAACGATAAAAATAAAATGAAGAAATAAATAAGTTTTAAGTAAAAATAATGAAAACAAAAAATAAAATAAAATTTCAGAACAAAGATTAAAAGAATAGTAAAAAAGGACTAAATTAAAAAAAATAAATAAATTTTGAGGTAAAAACAAAAAAAAAATTTGAAAGAAAGGCTTAAAAAGAGGGGGGTAACTTTTTCCGACTAAAACGGCGCCGTTTTGGTCGAAAAAGTGAAGTGGCGATTGCCACTTCTCATATATAGATATAGATACCCGGGTGGGTAAAGTGCAAACGGCAGTTCCATGCGTAACGTTTATTCCATTTTTCATCCCTCTTTTCTTTACATTTTAAGAAGAAGATATGCAATTATGTGATGTCTCGAAATATTAAGACATTATAAATAGATATGCACTATCAAATCCCTAATATTAATGCACACATTCCAAGGCAACTTATTTTCTGAGGAAGTACAACAAGTATTTGAGGAATGATGGTTAAAAAATTAAAGTTGAAAAAAAAAAAATAGATAGATCTCCTCTAGTACAGATTAACTTAAAAGACATAATTCTGAGAAAATGATGCAAACTAAGATGTAAAATATCGCTGACACATTTTCTAATTTTCTTAATTCTTAATATAACAAGTGCCTCTTTCATTCTAAAAGATATATAATTTTTCATTTTTACCCTTGTTATGCATTTATTTTTATTTTTATGAAGAATCATGGATGGGGAACGTTGTTGCACTAGCTCGTTGCACTGACACTTGAGGCGTTATAGCGAATTGCATAGCGATGCTACCACTTGTGCCTTTTGTGGTCGTCATTGGGTGTTCTATGGTGGTGACAGTGACTAAGCAAAGTGAGTTAGGGTTAGGTTTTTCACCATAGTGAGAAATATTGACAAGGGTTTTTTAATTTATAGTAAAAAATATATCTACTAAATGAAAAAAATATATAATAAATGCTATGTAAGTATTGATTTTTTTAAGGTACAATGTCATTCAACTAAAAAATCTTACAAACCTAACAATATTGTGGGTACTGTGGTACTCAATACAAAACACTCCATAAAAATTGGTTGCATTAATAAATTCTGATGAAGCATAGGAAAGACGAGACCTAATATTAGTAAAATTCCTCGACACATCAATTTTAGCATGCGTAAAGCTCTTATTGAAACCACTAAAATCGATGGAAACTGTCGATCCATCGAGAGGATGTGACTATAGCTCTAAGGCCACCAACATCTCCGCTTAGACTAATAGCTATTGAAAATTCTACTAAATAAAAGAATTATTAAATATATGTATCGTGCAGATATTTAAAGAATTTACCCTTTATAACTCGTGGATACCCTATAATTAAATACTCAGTGACGAACCTTACTTTGAAAATACAAGTACAACTTTTTTCTATTTTTTTTTTTTTTCAACACAACGCTTAGTTCATATGATGTTTCGTTCTATGTTTATTTATACCTGCAGAAAGTAAATTCTCTAGTTCATATGTTAATTTAGTAGAGTCCCACGTGATCAAATTAAAAGAAAATGAGGCCTTCGTCCAAGTATATAAAACCCCACCTTCTGAAGACATCTCAATCAAAACCTTTTTTATTTACATAAAGGCGCTCACAAATTCCCTTTTAGTTTAAATTCAAAACAACAGTATTTCTGCATTCTTTTTTTTTTTTTTTAAGACAATATCTTTGCAACCTTTTTAGTTGATGGTACGTAGAAATCAATACCCATGTTTGTAATGAAATGTACCTAATTTATTTCATTATTAAAAATGTGAGAGTAAACTAACAAGGAAATTTGTTCTGCTTTTCAATGAAATGAGGTTTTACAGTTTCCCGTTAACCACTGCTTTTTCTAATTTATTTTTATTTGTTTACTACAAATAAATGAATCAGATGGATTTAACGTCACTAATTGAATTGATCCAACGACAAAAATTTGAAACTAAAATTAATGAACGTGATTAAACGAATGAGGCGTGAATAAAATTTCAAATTTGTTCTTAATAATGATTACGATGAGTCAATCTCAAAATTTGGACATAAGATTGGGATGAAAACTCAAAATATGAACATAAAATTGGGGCATTTTCCCACCAACTCGGTTAAGTTGATTACGAGGCAAATTTAGGAAATAATATCTTCATCAAGTTAGCCTTATTTGACGAATTAATATCTCCGTTTCATTCTTAAATAAATATATATGACTTGACATAATATTATATGATATCAATAATAATATCATCTGAGCACACTAATTTACAGAGCATGTAACTAAAAAGAAAGAAAAAAAAAGGATTAAAGATTAAAATGCAATAAACGACATTTCGGCAAAGAAATAAAAATAAAATTAGAAATTGTTGTAGGGGTAGCCAGTTAGCTAGGATGATAGATTGACAATAAGTGGATGTTTGGTTCGTATATTCAGAATCATGATTCAGAATTATTTTCGTTTTACGTGTATTTTTTGTGAGAGAAAAATACTGTAGAGAATTATGAATCATGATTCAGAATCATGGATGAATACAGTAAACAAACATCTTCTAAGTGCCAAAATTTTAAAGTCCTTACAGTCCAATAACACTGCCAGAAAATGAGTCAGCTTTGAAAGCAACCTTCAGAATTCCATTTTCAGCTACCTCCCCGCCCTTTGGAACATTTTAAATTTACTCTCAATATTCCTTCATCATGTTCAATCCCCATTTCAACAATCCATATATGTATTCTGCAATACAATCATAAAACCACAATACGACATGTAGTAATTCGTTTGTTTTTGCAGTGTGTTTTAGTTATGTGTACTTTATTCCATATTGTTCATCTTCTTCTATTTGTTTTAAAGAGAGTTAGGGGAATCAGAAGTAGTAGGTAGAGAATGATGGCTTGGACTTTATTACTCACAAGATATAATTAATAAATGTGTTATATAGTTAACCTTATTGTTGTCACACCTTTTTTTTTTTTTTGCTTTTTTTCAAGTAACTTGCAAATGTTGCTCGTTTCATAATTTTTTCACACGTTGGGGCCGGCAAGTTGTCAGGGCATCGTTTTCCTTAGATTTATATTCATGATTTAACTAATTTTCTACGTAAACCCGATTGAAAAAACCATGTGAAGGATGATAAGCTGGATTAATTTAAATGCAAAACCAGTTTTCTCCGTAAACCAGATTAGAAAAACACGTGAAATTATTATATATTTGACAACTGGGGTGTCCTGTGATGGCTAGTCTAATATTATTATTTTAAGTGTAACTTCTCTTTTCTTTAACTCTAGATTTTTAGAGATATAGTATCATCTTACTATTTATGCTGAAATATAACAAAACATTTAGAACAGTTACTACATAACAATTTTGTAGCAAAAACGTGAAAATCATTATAGTTATCTTTACAAAGTTTTAATATTATTAAAATATTTTCAAAAATGCTATATTTCAATTTAGTTCTTATAAGCATTTCGTATAGGATAATTTTACCCCATTTAGATGGTGGCATATCGTTCTTTTTTTTTTTATTATTGAACAGTGACATTTATTTGTTTGAAGGATTTTGTTTTTGTATTTTGTTAGATGAATTTTATGTTCTTTCTAGGACTATTTCATTGAAAACTTATATTTAATTATATATTGAAATATATTGTCATATCATTCTAGAAGTGGACTGTTCTGTTAGGCTTTTCTTAAAGACAAACTTAAAACAAGGAAAAGGACACCTTGTTGATTTTGGCCCGTTTAATTTGTTAATTTAAATTTTTAATTTGAGTTGATATGTAATTTTATGTAAAAAAAATTTATTATAATAAAAAAATTAAATGTGACTATTTTTTAAAATTTTTTACTATAATAAAATTTAAAATTTAAATTTAAATTAGTAAAATAAATGAATATTTATTTATTCATTTATTTCTTAATCAAACATCTCTAGTTGTCTCTAAGAGTCAATTGCAATCGTACAAATTAAGGCAGGCAACCCATAATAAGATAAGAAGAAATACCAAGGGCATTAATAATACTTTTATTATTATTTATTATTTTTTACTTTAGCACCAATAATCGTACTCTGCAGGAGAAAATAATTTTCCTGTGATGTACTGTCAATAAATTATAGGATAGGTTCATTTATACAATTTAATTCACTTAAGTCATGACTTAAATTATGTATATGAGAGAAAAAATTGTATTACTATGACTTGATGAACGAGGTCATAGTGTGGGGGGTTTAGTGGACGTTTGGTTCATGGATTCAGAACTATTGTCAACGTATTTTTTTGTGAGAAAAAAATACTGTAACGAATTACGAATCATGATTCAAATCATGACACGAATACACTAAGTAAACGCATTGTTAAAGTTCTTATTTGCACATTAATGTCTTTCATTTCTATAAAAAAAAAAAGAGATTTTCTTTGATAGTTCTTGTAAAAATAAATTATCAGTAATTTTTTATTTTCAACTATCAGATCTATATTAATCTATCTATTTTACATATTTTTTTTAATCTGATGTTATTTTGATTATATCTAATGGTTAAAAATTAAAACTGTTGATAAAATGGACTATTAAAAAAACTTCTAAAAGAAAAGTTCCTCGCACTTTTTTTTCTTCAACAACATGGGAAAATTTGAATTGTGTATGGAGATTAATGTGATTATCCTACAAGTTTGAGATTTGTTTTCTTTTTTTGGAGAAAAGATTTGTTTTCCTTAAAACTTATAAGGTTTTAATTTTTTTTTTTAAATTAAGAGAAAGAATGTCAATCCTATCAATTATAGAAATAGGAGTACACTTTTTTTTTTTTTTGGCTGAAAGAATATAGGAGTACTATAAATCCATTCAATACAAGTTTGAAATTAATACTAGAGTTATTTAATAAATAAATTTCAAATAACAAAATATGGATTTACCCAAACGGAAAATCGTTTTTAGAAGGCAGATGGATCAAGTAGATATTTTGTGACGACAAGTAATTTGAATCCGTGCAACGTTGTACGACCACATTCACGCAGATTCCCTTTCTCATATTTCAAGGGCAGAAAATTTAGATTAAAGTTAGAATTATTTTTAATTTATGTGTAATTTTTATAAAAAAATATTATAATAAATAATAAATTATAATTTAAATTATAACTCGAATTTTTATGTTAAATGCAACTTGTTATTATTTGTTATCTGAAGAGCTGCTACTGAAATTTGTTGCAGTCCGTTATCCGTGTGGGTAATGTGAGTTTATGGTTCGGTCAGGGCTTTGATATTTTTGGGAAGAAAACAAAATACAAAAAATGGGATATTTTTTCTCAGAGGAAAGCCTTATCCAGATCAACCTGGCCACACGGTACACGTGGAGGTCATTTAGGAATCTTGGTTTCGTCGGCCGCCGGACATGTTTTCTGGCAATACACTCGGGATGACGTCGTCTATCATTTAGTGGGGTCACTCGTCAGGCGCCGTTTTATCCACTTTCACTGAAATGTCTTATATACCCATCTATGCTCTAACTATAATTGTAGTCTGACAAAAATATCTTGAACCTTTTTCCATGTATTTAAAATAGATTTTAAACGACTTTAAAATAGTGAGATCTTTCAAAAGCAAAGAATAGTTGAGTATTCATTTAGTTTGTATGTTTAGAATTATGATTTAAAATTATTTTTATTTTATGTGTATTTTTTAAGAAAAAAAAATATCGTAGAGAATTATAAATTATGATTTATAATTAGAGATGAATATAAGAAATAAACGGGCTCTGAATAATTACGAATATCTATATTTACTTTTCTTTTTCTTGAAAAAACAATTAGTAAAAAATCATTAGAGGTCGTGCTTTTTGCATATTTATATTGAGAATTTGAATTAAAAAGAATTTAAAAAAAAAAATACAATAATAAAAAATTAAATTTAAATTTTTATAAAAAATATTATAATAAAAAATTTAAATTATGATTCGAATTGTAAAAAGAACGGAATCTAAAAATTTACCTTCAAGAAGGAAAAAATAAAATATAATTATTTTTTTGCTAGGTAAAAAAAAGAAAATAATTGTTAAATAATCAATGTGTATATCAACACAACAAGCGTGACAAAGAGGGAGAAATATTTATCTTTAAAGTTCAAAATTAGTAACACAATTTTTGAGAAAGAAAGGGAGGCGTTGGGGCCACGATGGTAATTTGGCATCAAAGATCATTGAAATAAAAGGTGTTTCAATTTTTTGTTTTGCTAGGTAAAAAAGAAAAAAAAAAATAGTAGTTGAATAATTAATGTGTATGCTAACACAACAAACGTGAAAAGGGAAGAGAAATATTTATCTTTAAACTTCAAAATTAGTAACATAATTTTTGAGAAAAAAAGGAAGGCATTAGGACCACGATGGTAATTTAACATCAAAGATCATTGAAATAAAAGGCGTTTCAATTTTTCTTTTTTGTTAGCTAAAAAAAAAAAAGAAAGAAAATAATAGTTAAATAACCAATGTGTACGTCAACGCAATGAAAAAGAGGGAGAAATATTTATCTTTGAAGTTCAAAATTAGTAACACAATTTTTGAGAAAGAAAGGAAGGTGTTAAGGCCACGATGGTAATTTGGCATCAACGATCATTGAAATAAAAGGCGTTTCTCAGTACAGAAGTATTGAATGTCTCGTTTACTCGGAAAGAAGAATCTCTTATCTTCTCTTCCCATCTCTCATTCATTTTATCCGATCCTCCTTGTCCGTCAATCCGTCAGAATCCGAAAGCCAGTTTTGGGTTTCTTCCACTGCAAGCTCTCTCCCATAACCACTTTCCACTTTAGTTCTCTACTCGTAGAGTTTCTTCGACTCCGATCTCTACCCTTTATATATAATTTTTTATCTTTATTGCCCATCTGTTCCTCCGATTTTACTTTCTCGCATTTGGATTCCTGAATTCTTGATTCTCCCGACGAATCTGTGGGAAAAGCTCCAGAAATCGGAGAATTTCCTGCTTCTTTTGGCTTTGATCGGTGATTAAAAGGTTTTAATTCTTAATCTCTGTTTTTAAGGTAGAATTTTTATTTTTGTTTTTTAAACCTCTGTATATATTTTGGGCCTTAATTTTGTGATATTCGGTTTTGGGTTAATTGATTATCTGATAGAAATTGTGATTTAATAGGTTTAAAGAGAGAGCTGCATTCAGAATTGCTTTGATCTAAGCGATATTTTCATTGTCCTGGATAATTAAAGTATAGGATGTATAATCAACCGTAATTAAATTTCCCTTACAATATGTATAGTAATAGGATTACACTTTCGATTTTGTACTGAATTGTTAGTTGTATATTTTTTTATTTAGCAATATTGACACTTTGGATTTTGTACAGTATTTTGTATTTTTCTTTGATTTTGGTAGATTTTTGTAGGGGAAAAGATGGGTTCTCTGCGTGGACCAGTTATTTGTCCCACTATTCGTGCAAAGCAAGCGGGATTGCCGATGGTGGGCTTTCCGATAAAGGCAAGGCTTCTTAGAAGTGAACTGTGGGGATTCAAAGGGATCAATACCATCACGAAGGCGGGTTTTCTTTCTCGTCAATTGAGTGTACGCAAGTGCAAGGGAATCAATTGTACTTTCAGTTCATCGTCTAACGACAACGGAAGCACGGCTGAGAATTTCAATGAAAATGATGAGGAGTATGTCAACTCCAGTGTACTCGAAGCTGGTATGCTAAGTCCTGTTTATTTATCTCGGCAAATTGTTCGTAAAGCTATAATTAATTTTCTATGTTGATAAAACGTTAACGATTTGGTCCACCTGTGGATAATAAGATAGATTTTCTGGTGTCTGTAGTTGAAGTGAAGAGTGGGGTAGAAGGTTTCATGATCAAAATGAGGGATGGAAGGCACTTGAGATGCGTCCATAACAACCCACAGGGTGGTCATCTGCCGGATTATGCTCCGCATCCCGCAATTGTGTTGAAGATGGAAGATGGAACCGGTCTTCTGCTGCCAATAATTGTTTGTATGTTTTTTTGTCTGTCTAATACTTTCTAGTATCAAAAGAGTAGAACATTTCAACTTCATAAGAGATGCTTTGCCGATTAATTTTTGGATACTAAAATCTGTTTTGCCTGTGATTACAGTGGAGATGCCTAGCGTGTTGCTCATGGCAGCAGTCCGCAATGTTCAAATTGTATATTTTATTTCTAACACGCTTCCCTTCAATTAAACTGATTTGATGATTTGTCTTTTTAAAGATTCACATGCACCTTTAAGAAATAGTGCGTGGGTATGCCAAATCTTACCAAAAAATGATGTTGAAGTATAAGTTTCATTTTCTGGTTTGCAGGCTAGGCCTACGCTTTATCAAGTGGTGAAGGAAATGATTGATAAAATGGGCTATGAAGTATGTTTTTGTTTATATTTCTTTCATTACAATGTGACAATGCTACATTGCATTGAACAAAATCTTTTGGTAGTACTGACTGATGTTTTTGTATTCTGCCTCTGCAGGTTAAACTTGTTCGAGTCACTAAGAGGGTGCATGAAGCATATTTTGCTCAGTTATATCTCACTAAGGTATATTCTTTACGCCTATATGCTTCTTCTTCTTCTTCTTCTTCTTTCTTCTTTCTTTTGGAACGGGATGAGAAAAGATCCTTTTTTGTCCATAGAGTTATCTGCTAACCTAACATTGATGTATGTGGACACAGGTGGGTGATGACTCAGATTGCATTAGCTTTGACCTTCGACCTTCAGATGCCATCAACATTGCAGTGAGATGCAAGGTGCTGAGATCACATTACCTATGAATTATGATTTATTTTCGATGTTGTTTTCTCAGACTTAAAAATGCTTCCAGACAACTTGTTTATTCCAACAAGTTAATTGCATTAATTGTTTTTGTTATTGGCCTTTAATAGAAATGCATTGTGATGATATAAAAAGGATCTTAAGATGCTTATTGACTCGTGGTTGACCTGACCGTATCATTTCATTGATTTTATATGCAGGTTCCAATACAAGTGAACAAGTACCTAGCATACAGTGATGGAATGAGGGTCATCGAATCTGGGAAGCTGTTGATGCAGACCCCTGCTTCAGATGGTTTATTATTTACTGAATTGGATCGGTAAGTTTGGGATAAATTAGCTCTATACATTCTGTTTCCTTGGATTTATGAATTTATACATGTACAAATTTATTTTGTTCTACATTATGGTTTGGATACTAAATATCCATACTTTAAAAGTACCTTTTTGAGTTTGGATTTGGACAAGATGACTTGAAAGGTAGTCTGACCTTCAGGTCCGCCGTAAATATACGACTTGCATAGAAAAGATATTATTGGTGTTTCCCATGAGCGTATATCTCAACTCTTGATTCAATGACTGAGGAAGTTATATGGAAACGTGAACTTATTTTTTGCTTTTTATAATTGCTAGTGGTAACAAGGATTGTGACTATTTGAGCAAGATGGACACTGTTTATAAAACGGATGTGTTTTAATAAAAAGATGTATGTTTCAGGCCAAGTGGACAGCCATGTGTTGAGACAAAGGAATTTAATCTTGTACGCAATATGCTGATAGCAGCTGTTGAGGAACGCTACAGAGATGCTGGTAAGATCGTATTCATTCTTTTGTTTGTATATTAAAAGATGTTATATTTTTTAATGGCAAGAGAAAGTACTTGGTATTGTTGTGAATGATGTGTTGCTGGCAATTCATTATGGATTGTGTTATTCGGTTGATGGCATTATTTTGACACGCTTTGTCTTGCAATCAATGGGATTTGGGTGGAGCTTTAGTACATTGATTTCTGGCGTTTTATTTTTACTACTTGGTGATATACCGAGACAATATAAAATTTATTTATTTTTATTACTTGGGCGATTTACCAATAAGATAATCCTGATATTGACGCAATATAACAAAATTGTTTATATAATTTTTAAAAGCCATAGTTTGTTGTTGATATTGGCATGGATGGTATAGGAGGTCTTTTATTCTTTTCATTCCCTTATTCTTTTCTTCTCAATATTTACCTTCCCGAATTACAATGAATTTTCGTATGCTTTATTCTCCTATGAATCCTGCAGCTCAGTGGAGGGACAAACTCAGTCAACTTCGTGCTAGAAGGAACTTGACATAACAGGTATAAGGCTCTATTATTCCACGGTTAATTCTCTCTCTCATTTTGTTTTTCATTTTATAAACAAAACTTACTGGGCGTTTTTTTGTTCTTCTATTTTTGTTTCAGCCGTGCTCTAAGATTATATTGTACATACACAATTGTTCAGAGTTGGTGAGGTTGGCCATGTTAGGGATCAATCGTGCCTTATCCTCTGCTCTATGTATTTAGGAACTTGTGAATATTTATATATGTATAGAGGAACTTTTACTGCCACTGTAAGGTTGAAGCAAGCAACTCTCTTTGCTGACTGTTCCCGTTGGTTATTTGAATGCTTGTTGTGCAATCTATGTATAAATTGTGGTTTCTTGCCACCATCCAACTTTATTGTTCTATCTTTTTACTTTGTGATAACAAGCTAATGATTATTAACTTCACCAAACTTGCGGGAGAAAGCTGCCTTAAATTACAATTTGACTTGATGTTTTATTCCAGTCGGTTTTTTTCACTATATTTTCCTTGATGATTGCTACTCAGAACCTGTTTGGTTCGTTGGTTTAAATTTTGTTGATTTGAATAAATTAATTTGAATTGTCTTGTTTAAATTGTAATTTGAATTGGCGTTTGGATCTACAAATAAAATTTTAATCTGGAAGAATAAAATTTAAATTTGTGGTAGATGTGAAAAAGAGAGAGTATGTACATTTTTATTGTTAAAAAATGATTTGAATAGTTGAATTTAAGAGGGAAGTTAAACTCTTAGTTTGGCAGTTTAACTTAGTTCAAACTGTGTATATAATTCGGATTGCGTGCTTATTAAACACGAGTTTAAACTGTGTTTACTATTCAAATTGAATTAAAATAGTGAAACAAATGAGGGTTACCTTATGTGTATGCGTAAAGATGCAAACAAAAGAGAAGTATGTGATCCAATTTTATTTGAATTGTGGTTACCTGCGAAAGTTGCTAGGTGCTCTATTTATACGTTATACGATGTAATATGGCCAAATCCCAGGGTCCTGGGTGAAGAATTCGTTTTTCGGGGCACAAATTTGCAAAGAAAGGGAAGCAAGGGACTTGTATTTTCTGTTGCTCTTTCCCTCTCTTTTTTGCATTGAATTTTGAGTTGATTTCATTGCACCTTCTGGCTTCTGCGAGCTAACTTATAAGCTATTATTAAATTTATTCATTAAGGACGCTATGGTCTTTTGCTTTGCTGGACAACATTCCAGTTGATGGCGGCTCGCTGCTAGACAAATTAGTAGGCCACCCGATGATTTCTATGCAGCAAACCAACCACTATAACACGTTCGTGGGGGCCGTAGACACGCTCTTTCTTAAAGAGAAAATTATAAATAATGTAGAAATATATGAATCGATATTTAAGAGGTAAAAATAAAATAAAGTTTTATTTTAAGGGGTATTTTTAAAAAATTTTCATTATTAAATTATGATGCTAAATGAAATTGAAAGCTAAATGAAAGTTACTCGATCGGTAACTTTTCCTAAAGATATATCTTACTTTTTTCGGGTTTGAAACATACGGTACATGTATTTGCTATATTGGTTTCTCACATACAAAATTTAAATTTTTATTTAACATTTTATATTTAAACCTATTAACTAAAAGCGCTAAAAAAAAAAAAAAAAAAAACATTTTGCTCTTTGTTTTCCTCATGCTCTGCTCCTATTTTTTAGTACGTAGGATGCAATTGCGTGTCGGCATTCATAGAATGAGAGAGGAATTCTTTATTTTGGACGCAATAATTGCAGTTATCAAAATGGAATCGACCCATAACAAATTGAAAAGGTCAGGCTCAGAATAATGTCCATCAACTGTAGTTAGAATAATCAGGATTTCTCTCCAAATATAAATATAGTTTTAAAATCTATAGTAAATTAAACTCTACAATCTTAGAATGGAAGGCATAAAGTATTAAAATAAACTAATCTTCAGAATAAAGATGTAAGAATAATTTATATGCCAATAATATTTTATACAAAAGAAAAAAAGACACGGTCGCATGAAAAATAGTTTAAGACAAGAAAAATGGTAAAAATGGAAGTCAAGGAATCTAACCACCGTCGGCAAATTCCCGCCGAGCTGCGGCTTATCTCCACGTGGCAACTCTCATCCACTTACAAAAGCGCAGACAATATTCCCGCACATATATATCACACCTCATAATAATAATAAACTATTTATATAACAATCCCATCTCACCGGTTTCTTTCTTGTTTCTTCAACCTTTCATTTTCGCTTTCGGTTTCAATCTCTCTCTGCTTTTGCCACAGTTAATGACTTTAATTAACTAATTAATTAACTTTTAATCCAGTTTAACTCTGTATGCCAGTCTGACCTCATATACACAACAAAGCCTCGAAAATATTCAGTCTTCGCCAAGTCCCCCTGGTCTGGAACAGAGCAACAATCCAGGAAGGACGAGATGCTGATTTAAACGGCATAATTATAAAGGTTAAAATCAGTTTCTCTCTCTTTATTTTCTCCACTTCTTCTCTCCCAAACCCTGGTTCAATTTTGACCTAGCGGTTTCTGATTAAAGAAAAAGTTTTCTTCTTGTCAATTCTGATGCTTTATTTTGGCTTCCAGTTCGATTTTGATCTCCCGGAAACGTTACCATGTCGGGGCCGCTTGACAGATTCGCCAGGCCTTGTGAGTTCCTGATTTTTTTTTTTAATTTCATATATTTGTTCGGAATTTTGTTTTGAATTTTTCTGGTTTGACAATTCGTAGATCTTCCTTGATGCGTGCTTGAATTGATCTTTTGGTTTCTGAAGTTTGTGAATTTTGTGTTGGTTCACTCTGAACTCGTGAGATTTTTTATTTTTTTTTACTCGCCGAGAGTTGCGACTAAGTTAATTCTGAATTTATTAAAATTCAAACCGCCATACTAGACGGAGGTTGCTGTAAAAGGATGGACAGGAAATCGTTTGGACTTTGGATTCTCGTTTCGGACACTGAAATTTTTTTTGGAAAAAATGAAAACTTTCTTTCGGAAATACTCTTGTTGTCGTGAAGTAGATGTTCCAACAGATTTTTGTATGCAACATTTATGTATACAAGTATTCGTGCAATGTCTGGTGTGACTCTTGTTTTAACTTTCTGCGGAAAGGAAAATATGAACATCTAGTTTGATACATCTTACGTTTATCAGTATATTTTATGAGGAAATGTATTATGATCTTCCTTGCGAAATTCGATGCGGAGCCTGATTAGTTTTGAATATTCAGTGTCGACAAATGGACCTGATGATCAGTTTCGTTGTTTTTTTTTTTTTTAACCCGTTTAAGTATATATTTTCTTATGAGAGCAAATGTGTATTTCGTTAGGCTTTGAGGGGTTCTCTGGCCACGACGAAAGAAAGGAAAGGAAATCAGATATTGAAAACTCAGAGGATGACAAGCGAACAAGAATTGGGAGCCTGAAAAAGAAAGCTATAAATGCATCGAGTAAATTTAGGCATTCTTTAAAGAGAAAGAGGAGAAAAAGTGGCCTCCGAAGTAATTCGGTTTCAATTGAGGATGTTCGGGATTTTGAAGAGTTGCAGGCTGTAGATGCATTTTGTCAGGCACTCATCTTGGAGGAGTTGCTACCTCCCAGACATGATGACTATCATACGTTGTTGAGGTAATGTTTTCTCCTCACTAAGGATGAATGTTAGTTTCAACTTCTACTTCTGCTGTTAACTATGGTTTAATTCTTTAGAGTTCTTTCGTTGCAGATTCTTGAAAGCAAGGAAGTTTGATATTGACAAAGCAAAACACATGTGGGCCAACATGATCCAATGGAGGAGGGATTTTGGGACTGACACAATTTTGGAGGTAATTTCACTCTGGCTGTTCACATCTATTATGAGGGATACTTTTAGACCTTTTACTTTTAACTTATTTGTTTTCAGTGCTGGTTAAATTCTAGTTGGGAATATCTTTAAACCATTTCATATGTAATCCAATTATCCAAATATTCTAATAACAGTGTGTACATTCATGTTGAAATTTGTTTATTTATCAAAATAAAAAGGAGAAATGTTGTTTATTGTTTTTTATTTTCCAGGATTTTGAGTTCAGTGAGCGAAACGAGGTTCTGAAGTACTACCCTCAGGGTTATCATGGCGTGGACAAGGAAGGGCGACCTGTTTACATTGAACAATTGGGAAGAGTTGATGCGAACAAGCTTATGTATGTGACTACCATGGAACGATATGTGAGATACCATGTGCAGGAGTTCGAGAGGAGTTTTGCCGTTAAGTTTCCAGCATGCTCCATTGCAGCAAAGAGGCACATAGATTCAAGCACAACAATTTTAGATGTCCAAGGCGTGGTATGTTTTTTGTTGATTTTGATATTTATTTTTAGTGTTATGGTTCCAGGATTTCTGTCGTATTTAGCTTAGATAACATGCCATGTTTCTCATTCCAATTATCTTTTAGGGTTTTAAGAACCTAACCAAGACTGCAAGAGAGCTCATCACCCGACTGCAGAAAATTGATAACGACAACTACCCTGAGGTACTTATGTTTGACTCTCTCTCTCTCTCTCTCTCTTCTGAAAGAAAATTTTTGAATATTGCTACCAATTCTTGGGGTCTAAAGTTAAACGTTGTTCTTTCTAATGTGTCAATGGCATTTATGCAGACACTTTGCAGAATGTTTATAATAAATGCTGGTCCCGGTTTTAAGCTGCTATGGAACACAGTTAAAACATTTCTTGATCCGAGAACAACCACTAAGATTCATGTACGTTTCAATAGCTCTTGCAGTCACTTTTAACTATTGTGGGCTCATAGTTAACTCAGGGTTCTCTGGCATTGGTATTTCCCTCAGGTTCTTGGTAATAAGTACCAGAGCAAATTGCTTGAAATAATTGATGCAAGGTAATTGGCCTTCTCGTTGTATAAATGGTGGTTAATTCTGGTTCAGTTGAGCTAACTATTAGTTTGATTTTAAGAAATATGTTGGAACTCTTTTCAGTGAGTTGCCAGATTTCCTCGGTGGAACCTGTACCTGTGATGATAAGGGGGGTTGTATGAAGTCTGACAAGGGGCCATGGAACGATCCAAACATATTAAAGGTTTGTTTCTTTTAGGCACTCTTTCGTTCTTTCTTTTTTTGTTTGTTTCCCCACGCCCCAACCCCCCACCCAAAAGCTCGTCTGTGGACACTGCTTATTGGTTCCAATGAAATGCTTGATTTTGTACAGGTGGTACTTAGTGGTGAAGCTCAATGCTTTAGACAAATAGTAACTGTTTCAAACAGTGATGGGAGAGTGATTGCTTGTGATAAGCCTCGTTTACCAATGGTATTGTCTGCAGACTATTTGTACCCTGAGACTTGTGCTTTGTGTATGTTACTCTAAATTAATGCAATCGCACTTTACATTGGTGTTGACTTCTATTTTGGGGATTCAGGTAAGAAGTAGTGATACATCTACTGCAGAGTCAGGATCCGAAGTGGAAGAAATGGCCTCTCCTAAAGTAAATAAAAGCTCTGTACAACCAAGGTTGACTCCCGTCTGTGAAGAGGCAAGTGTTCATAATCTCTCTCCGTCTGTGTGTGTGTGTGTTTGTGCGGAAACGAGCGAAGTTTCTATGATGTATCATCATGTAATAACAGCGAGATAAACACATACAAACCGACGGGTTTGTTTTCTGGATACATTTTTGTGCTGACTCAAATCATTGTTTAATATGGAAGGCCAGAGTTGAACCACTTTTGGTTTTTCCTTTTGTGTGTGTTTTAGTCTGATATGATGTGAGTATATAATTTGGATTTATGTTTTCATTTATCTGCGTGAGAGGGAAAAAAAACAACTAAGGTCCATGCATGAAGAAGAAGGAATAGTTTCTTCTGTAAATGTTGAGATCTTCTAATAAAAGATGTTTAACTCAAAGTCAATGTGGTTCGATGTTTTTCAGGCTAGGGGGGTTGGCAAGTCAAGCATCGTTGGTGCCTTATCTGATTATGATGAATATGTTCCCATGGTTGATAAGGCTGTTGATGTGGGTTGGGAAAAAAGGTCGCATCAGAATCCGACTGTCTCTGGAGGTTAGATTGGGCGCTATACCACATGCTTATATGCTGTGATACAGTGAAGTTGCAGTTTTTTCTTTGAGTTTGAATCTTTCGAATTTGAAACGTTTCATCTCCCCTTCCAAGATTCAAAGACGTTAATCATAATCCGTAGCTAGGAGCAGGAATTGGAATAAAAAGTTTTTGTATTATCAAGGGTCTATGACGGGGTCCTTTAGATCACTCTATTTAAAAAGGTTTATGTTGTTATTGAGCAAATAATTGGGCTTTATGCTCTCTCTTGGGAGCTACGACATATGGATCCTCATCATGAGAACAGTTTCTTTCTTCATTTATTATTTGTTTATTGTTAACCTGAATACCAATCTAATCTTTCGAAATCCATAACAGGGCCACCTTCTGTGTCGAGTGTAGAAAAAATACCAGAAGGAATCTTTTCTCAACCTTGGGCTGCGCTTTTGGCTATCTTTATTACCCTCTTTACTCTTATTCGATCAGTAGTATTTCGGTTGACGCACAAATTTCACAACTCTCTTTCTGATTCTGCCGACAATATTCCGAACCTGACCGATGAATCACTTCCAAAAGAGGAGTTCCGTCCCCCATCTCCAGCCCTTAGAAAGAAGGATCTTCTTTCATCCGCTCTGAAAAAGCTTAGTGAGCTTGAAGAGAAGGTGGATAAACTACAAGCAAAGCCATTTGAGATGCCTTACGAGAAAGAGGAGTTGCTAAATGCTGCTGTTTATCGTGTCGATGCATTAGAAGCAGACCTAATTGCTACAAAAAAGGTTATTCTCTCTCATTTGATACTCTTATCCGATGGTGGCGATATAGTAACTGCTTTGTTTGTTTGTTTTCCTTTCCTTTTTCTTTTTATTGTCAATGCCATATTCTTTTCCCTATTTGCCTACAATATTGATGGAATTAAAATGCCCTACGTGGTATTTCTATAAATATTAGCATTCATCGGCTACTCATAATTTTCTTTATGATGATTAGGCTCTTCATGAAGCTTTGTTGAGGCAGGAAGAACTACTAGAATACATAGACAGACAACGGGAGGCTAAACTTCGGGTTAGTTAAATTTGTGCCCTTTTTTTTTTTTTTTTTTTGGGCACCACTATATACTATGAGAGTATGAGGGGAAAACACACTCTCCCACCCACACCTACCACGCACACACAAAAATACGACACTTTTCCTATTTGTTTATGTGGGACTCATGATTGTATCTGTTCTCCTGCAGAAAAAGAGGTGGTGCTGGTAAAACTATTACTTTGTACGAGTTGTTTGGTGGGTATATTGATGGTTTCCATATATAGAATTATGCACATATATGCTTGTATATTTGAGATGCGTAATAAGTGTAATTCAGAGGTGCTCTTGTTTTCTTTAACACGTCCCCACTTGCTTTTGCTGGAAATATAAGGCCTTATTAAGTACTTCATGTGTTCTCGCTATAATATTGGGTTATATGACGAATGGTACCATATGTGTTTCCTGTCCCGATTTGCATCATGCTTCTGTACGCCTTCCCATACAATTATAGATTGGTCTACCTATAATCGATATCTTTTGTGCTCTGGTTATTCGTTCACGTTTCTTATCGGCACTTCTGGCATCAGTGCGTTTTTAACAACGCACACTTTTTTTTTTCCCAGCATTTTTATTGTGTTGGTTGCACAACTAAGGAACATGGTATTTTTCAACTTTAAAAGAAAAAAAAAAAAGAGAGAGAAAAAGAAGAGAGTATATGTCGTTCCTGTCGTGTAAAACAATCATAGGGATAAATTACAAAAGTTCTTGAATTATAACTCTTGAATTATAACTCATGTAATACGTTGGTTCTTGAGCTTTAAAAAATAACATATGTTCTTTTTGAGTTTTCCGTTAATAATGTTGCCCTTTCTGTTACATTATATAGCCGTTCTGGGTGAGAATTGAGTGCAAATTACATTTTTATCCTCCTAATTAGATATGCTTCTATTTTTATTCTTTCCTTCTGCATTTTGATATAACAGGTAGCTTATAATGAAACTTGAATTTGTGTAAATTTTGAGAGTTTTTGGGTAAAAACCCAAATCTCTCAAGAGTTTACCTTTATTTTCAGTTTTTTTTCCCTACTTTTGTTCATAACTTAAGGGCCCGTTCGGTTCGCTAATTCGAGTTGAGATGTGATGTTGTGTGAGAGCTTTTTACTGTAGCAAAAAAGTTAGATGTGACTGTTTTTGAGAGTTTTTTTTTTACTGTAGCAAAACTCGAATTCTAAACTCGAATCAGCGAAAAGAACGCGGCCTAAGCATCTTGCAGGTCATTATATGATAATACCCTCTTTAAATGGGTTACACACAATTCAAGTGATAAAGTTTGTCGCTCAATGTAATAAACAAAGTGTTGACGGTAAAAACTCGTCAACAGAAATAGCCGGGTCACCACTAGGTATTCCGTTGGATTACCGGCTTAATATTGACTGTATACTCAATATTGGCAGTGAAGTGTTTGTGGTATTTGTTGTGTAGTGAGCAATATGAGAAAAATATACTTGAAGTAGAAAAACACACAAGTTTTATAGTGGTTCACTCTTATAAAATGAAGAGCTACATCCATTGTAGTTTTCTATTCCTTTTGAGATTGTTACAATTTACACTAACAATTACTCTCTCGTTCTTTTCTCTCAGGAAAAACCAACCCCTTCCCTGTATGTGGCTTCTCCCCTTTTATAGTCAAGCTTCCTTCGTCGGGTGAGTTTTCTTTGTAGGCAGAAAAGCACTCAAGTGGTCTGCCTTTCTAGGCCCAGACCGTAGCCCACTAATCACTTTTACGAACTGTACACTCAGCCAATTAGTCTCCCATTACAGCTCTGTGCGTACCTGTAACCCTTTTCTGTCCCCCGTAGGGCGGTTTAAGGGTTTGCATTTAATGCCTGTATTGCAGACATCTCTCATTTCCACACGCAACTTGCGATGTCAGGCTTTTCCCTCTTCGGGCATTCCTCTCGCCGTCTCTATTTGCTCAGCTTAGTTGTCTTTCTTGGCAATTAATTTCTTCCTAAAGGATTCCTGCCGTAAGGTCGACGGTACGACATGTCGTCGTCATGAGGAGTCGGCGTCGAAGGTTGGGCTTCCCTTGCAGCAGAAAGAAAGGGAATCCCCACCGTCGAGGGTTGTTGCCTTTTGAGAGAAAGTAAGGCCACGTGTCACACTGTTATTTTTTCACGCGTCATCCACATTTTCTCACACAACACAAAGTAAAGTTGTTAACAGAATAAAGTTTAGAAGAAACAAATTTACATTTACTTTTTAGAGTTTAAGGGGTAAAGTATTACAAAGTCAAGGAGAAATTTATAATTAATCCTATTTTTAGACGGGAAACTAGTAAAAGGACAATGAGACGTCTTTACAAGTGGAAGTAAATTTTGATGCACAAGCTTGTCGTTTTCACATAAACTACAGAAAATCGTGATCAGCAAACGACAAGCCCATTGTATCACATGCCGGCAAAACTTTGTAATGGTAAAACGACATGTCGTCTATCTGTTTTGGAAGCATTTTGTTCAAGTTTCCTCCACAGCGATTCATCGGGTTGCGTTTTCTCGGACATTACTAGTTTCCTATCAGATTGTTGATTGCTATTTGCTAATGTTTCCTATCAAACTATTTTGGTCAAAAAAGATGCCGACTCTTCGCAATCAAATTCTTCGAAAGTATTTCAAGGCCCACTACCCAAATATCGATTCTGCGACTCTAAAATGTAGAGCAAATTCAAGATTTTCCTTCATGGCTGGGGACATGAATTCTGGCCCGAAGAGAACGTACCAAGTTGTGGTGGCCGAAGGAAGGAAATCTGCCATGGAAGTTGCCTTCTGATCTCAAATTTTTCAAGGAGCTTACAGCGACTACATTAGACCCCACGAAGAAGAACGCCGTGGTAATGGGTAGAAAGACATGGGAAAGTATCCCACTTCAGTTTCGCCCTCTACCTGCTCGACTAAATGTCGTTCTGAGTCGCTCCGGAAAAGTTGGTGATTCCATTGAAGAGAATGTTGTCATATGTGAAAGCATTTCATCAGCTTTGGAATCTTTGGCACAGCCTCCTTATTCTCAGTCCATAGAGAAAGTGTTTGTCATTGGAGGTGGCCAGGTTTTAAGGTAACTTTGCTTTTGCTTTTCCATTCCATTTGTATGCGTAGAACTTTTTTTTGTTAAGACTGATTTGGATTTATTTTATAATTTTTTTCCTCAACTATGCACTCTAGTTCAGCATGCTTCTGAATTTTTAATATGAATAAACACGCTGTGCAAGTTGACAAAAAACTAATAGTTTGAGAGGCATTTATAAAGTTTTAATTAATGACACGTCTATATACCATTAGTATTATAAAGTATCTTCGTGGAAGGGATGTTTTTGAATGATCTTGTATAATTTAGGAGTGAAAGATGTACCCCAATTTATTGTCTTTTCTAAAGTTCGGTGCATGATATACTAGGTACATAGTTCATAGGGATATTTATGAAATTAAGCCTATTTATTTATGGGCTTTTTGGCACAGGGAAGCTCTCAATGCACCACGGTGTGATGCCATTCACATTACTGAAATTGAGACAAGTATTGATTGTGATACCTTCATTCCCTCTATTGATTTCTCATCGTTTCAACCATGGTACTCATCCCAACCGTTTGTGGAGAACAATGTTAGATTTAGTTTTGCTACTTATGTTCGTGTGAGAACTTCTACGGTTAACCCTCATGCTTGTGGCAATGGGGAAGAGTCTAGTTCTGATAAGTTTGAAGTAGGGAGTTTTACCTTCCTGCCAAAGATGATATTTGAGAGACATGACGAGCATTTCTATTTCGGGTTGGTTCAAGAAATCATTTCAAGTGGCTATAAGAAACACGACGAACCAGGGAATTGTACTCTCTCAAAATTTGATTGTGAGGTAATGTAACTCTTTAAAATTACTTCTGCCTCTTTACTTTTTCGTGGCTAAATGCAACTTTTTAATATTAATTGAAATTGAATCACAACTCATAGACCACTAAAGCTTTAAACTTGCTCTTTGTTTATTGTATTTTCCCCTTACATGTTTTTTATTATTTATTTATTTATTATTATTATTATATATATATATATATATATATTGGTAATGTTCAGTTTTGATACGATATTCTCCAGATGCGGTTCAATCTTTGCAAATCATTTCCCAAGGTAATGGCTCTTTTTGTAATTGCAGTGTTGTTTTGTCACGATAGTCGGTTCTCATAATGATCTCCTTTCTTGTTTAATTCTTTTGGATTGGAAAATTTTCCTTATCATCAATTAGTACGCCTTTTCTAAAGTTTGCAAGTCTCTTAGTCTTGTATGGTTCTTTTTTTGGCCCATATGTCTTTGAGGTTGCTAATTTCTTTCCATCTCTTCAAACATACAGGGAGTTTCTTGGGAAGGAGTTCTTCCAGAATTCTTTAGGCTCATTAGTGGCACCACAAACGAAAAGGTAATCACATTTTCACTGATATTAGTGATGATCTATTCTTTCATCTCAATATGCATGCTGATGCTGATCTCAAAATCAAAGATTTCATCAGTTAGCAGATGTTATTGATGCGATAAAAAACAACTCTGATGATAAGCGGATCATCCTATCATTACAAAATCTATCAGATCTTACGCTTGAGGTGAGGAGATGCTTGTTTTGGTTAATTTTTATTCTATCCTTTGTAAATTATTGTTCCATCTTGTAAATTATTACTAATGTAATTGTTACAGTTCAGTGTAGCCAATGGGGAATTATCCCTTCACACGCATCAACCCTTTGTTGACATGTTTCTCTCTGTTCCAAAAAACATTGCGTCTTATGCTTTACTGAAATGCACGATTGCTCATGTTTGTGGTACGCAATTCCACAAACAAGGAATAACTGCTCTTGTTATCATTTCTTCATGTCCGTAATGTTTCTTATACACAAATGATCTTGTATAGGACTAATTCCCAGTGATCTGAACCTTAAAATTGGCGAAGCTCACGTGAGAGGAACTCATATCAGGCCTCTTCAAGACCAAATTCATAGACTTCCTACACCTTTCCCGGTGAGTAGAAAAACAGTCAAAACATAATAACACAAATATAGATGTGAGTTTCATTTCTAATTCTCTGCTACGCAGATTTTGAAGATCAATCCAAACAAAACCAACATAGATACATATGTGTCAGCTGACTATGAACTCGTTGGTTATGATCCTCACTCATAGGTAGGAACTGGGCAAATCGTTGTTCTCTCCAAACTGCTTTTGATCATATGAGCTTTTGTGAATTTTGTACTAAAGTTAAAAGTTAAAAAAAAACAATGAGTATCGAAACTCAGGATTGAACTTCCTTGCTTTTGAGGAAGTTGATGAGGCCTTGAAGTGCAAGATCAGCATCATCGCTCTTCATCAGCTCTCCGCCAACTTCTGCAGGCGTTGCCCTAACCTTCTTCAGTAACTCTGCAACCTCTCCAAACAGGGCATGTTCCTTAATCTGCAAGTAATTCTTGGCCAAAATCTTGAATCAGTTGAAATCGCAGTAAGACATGTGGAGATGCAGATCCATTCGTCCCAACCTCAGCAATGCCGGATCAAGTTTGTCCTTGTGATTCGTCGTGAACACTACAATCCGCTCATCTCCACAGCTCGACCACAAGCCATCAATGAAGTTCAACAGACCAGAAAGAGTAATCTGTAATGGAAGGTTTCACGATGATTGGACTTAAAATGACATTCTCAATTTCTACTTTTGCACAAATTGAGCAAGAGATCATTACCTTTTCATCCTGGATGGAATTGTACTCGTCCTCCGAGTTTCTGTTTTGCAAACCGATTGAACAATCGATGTCCTCGATCACTAATAAGGAGCAATTACCTGTCCCGATCAACAGCCTTCTCAGATCGGAATTGCATTGGACCTCTTTCAAATCCAAATCGTAAACGTCGAACTTGAGGTAATTGGCCATGGCGGCGACCAAGCTTGACTTTCCAGTTCCAGGCGGACCGTACAGCAAATAGCCGCGCTTCCAAACCTTCCCTACTCTCCTTTAATACTCCTTCCTTGCCATGAACCTGTTGAGGTCATCGATCAACGCTTTCTTGGTCTCCAAATCCATCGCAATCGTCTCGAACGTTGCCGGATGATCGAGGTTTATCCCTTCCCAATAGTCCTTTCCGTTGTAATCCACGGTATGAAGCTTCACCGACTTAGTTTCTTCCTTAATTTGCTTCGCTTTTTCCAAAACATACGGCAAATAACGATTCAGCGCCATTTCTTTGTGTTTCTTGTGGAATCGCAGCTCGTAGCGTCGCTCCTCCGCGAACGCACTGCGATGGTCGCCATTGCTAATGAAAACCGGCTTATCGCTCCGCGAGCAGTCCAAAATCCACTTGAATTCGGTGCCGTCCAAAAAATCGACAAGTTCTTGGTTCTTGTCAACCTTCACCGCTAATTGCTTAACTTTCTTCAATTTCAAGACCTTGATTCTCTGCGTTGAGGAGGATAGCTTGTTTCCCAAGTAAACGCTCGCCGCCACGAACATTTCGTTCCCGGCGTAGCCGTCGAACTCGTCAAGGACGATGGTGAGTTCGGAGGAGAACCGGGAGGAGATCTTGCGAAGGCGCGTGAAGAAGAACTCCCGGGCTGCGTCTGGGATTAGATCGTCCGCGACGCTTCGGAGAAGAACCACCGAGGCGGTGAGCGAGGCGGCGACCGAAAGGATTGTTCTAATGGAAGGTACCGTCGTCGTTTCCGATGAAGACCACATTTTCTTGATTTTTCTTGTTCTTAGTCGGGTTGTGGAGATTGAGATTTCTTGGAGAAGAACAATCTCAAGAATTCGAAATTTCTACGTGTAATCATCAACGTGAATATGTTGTTATATTACGGGAAAATTTCATATCCGTAGTAGGATGTGTTTTAGTATAATGTCTATTAATATTTTGTGTTTTTAATAATTTTAAATTAGCATCTTTTAAAAGATATTTTAATATTTTGAGGTCTTTTTTAAAATGTAAAATCTTAAATTTACTATTCTTATTATTTTATTAAAAACTAATAAATATAGACAAAATTTTGAAAAAAAATATTTTTAATTTAAAGCATTATTTTTATTTTTTAAAATATTTAAAAAAATCAAGTTTCAGAATTTTGTTAAATTTATTATTAATTTTTTGGTTAATTAAATTTTTTTAAATTTTTTTTAAAATTTATTAGTTTTTAGTATAATAATGAGAATGGTAAATTTAACATTTTATATTTTAAAAAAGATTTTAAGGTATTAAAAAACAATTTTATAATTAATTTAAAATTATTAAAAATATAAAATATTAAAAGATAATTAGGCTAAAATAAGTGAAATTTTCCCTCACCAGAGTAAAGCTCGGGTTCATTTACGTTAGTGATTCAAGAACACGGCTGACTTTGCCCAATTTAGTGAAGCTGGGCCCCATATATTGGGTTTCACTTCTTCCCAAGTCAGTTTTTGGGCCAAAAAATTACAAGACAACGAGTGAAAAAGAATAGCAATTTTTTTCTTTAAAAAATGGAGAATTTACTAGTTTGGACTTTTATCTATTGTTCTTTATAAATATTTTTTTATTAGTATAATTATTTGATTAAAGAGTTATGAATCAAGAGTAAATTTTTACTATGCACTTTTAATGGTATTTGTTAAGATTACCGAAGTAACTCCATATTTAGGATTGCTCAAAAAAAAAAAAAAAAAAAAAAAAAAAAAAACCCCGTTTTTAAAATGGTTCCCATTTTTTTTATTTAAAAATTTTTTCTTTAAAAAATGGAGAATTTACTAGTTTGGACTTTTATCTATTGTTCTTTATAAATATTTTTTTATTAGTATAATTATTTGATTAAAGAGTTATGAATCAAGAGTAAATTTTTACTATGCACTTTTAATGGTATTTGTTAAGATTACCGAAGTAACTCCATATTTAGGATTGCTCAAAAAAAAAAAAAAAAAAAAAAAAAAAAAAACTCCGTATTTAGAATGTGTCCCTAATTTATTAATATTAAAAGAATAATATAATTAGGTCATGGTTGTATTATTTATTGCAAGTCAGTTTAGGTCATGCTTAGGATATGATTATATTGTTACCATATATTATAGTAACAATCACAATTATTTATTTAGAAGTTTAGAATTATTCTACCAAAAAACAATCACATTTATTCTATCTTGCCCATCATCAAAATGTCATATATTTATTTAGAAGTGTAGAATATAGTTTGGACAAAATAGCTAAATATACAAAGTTTTGGAAAAAGGGTAAACATATAATATAAAATTACTCGAAGAGCTTTACAAAAAGAATTAGATTTATCGAAAAGGTTTGTTTACCCACAAGGTCTACAAAGTAATGTATGCATAGCTGTCTGAAAGTGAACAAAGTATTGAATACGAAACCATCTGATCAAGTCTTTTTCCTTAAATTAAACATAAAAGTTGGATGAGGTTTTATGTGGATGTGAATTGAAAATGCAAACACGAGGATGCTTACCACCTTTGCTTATTTTTATGATTTTATTGACACATCAGATTCCAATCTATTTTGACCAAAAATTCAATTGTCGGAAATCCACACGCATCATGTGTTTTGTTGAACTAACCACACACAACTTTTTGTTATGTTTAGTTTCAATTAGAGAAACCAACTTCCATATTTCATATGCCCCACTGTTTCATAATTATACGGACTATGACGCTACGGCGTGGATGCAATTATATTTTATATTTGATACTTTCGCAATCAAATAATAATAATAATAAGAATAATAATAATATATCTATTTTATGCAAAGTCAGAGAACGAATACTTGGATCATATACGACTTTTTAGCAAAAACAAGAATTAAAAAAAATCCTAATTAAGATCGAAAGATCTGCATGGTTACTCAGCCATGTTTCTTGTTCAGAAAAATAAATCAATGATTACAAATTACAAAATCCACTCAAAACAATTCACCTTTTATAAAGCAAGAACGTACAGAACTTATTGTATAATAAAGCAAGCAACAAATAGAAACATATTTATCTGTTTCAGAGAAATAATTTTGTCTGTTGAAGATACATGAACTACAAGTCGATATAATAAAACCAAGCATTTCATGATACAAGAACTTATTATAATTACTTACATAATGGAACAGTAATGGGCGTAAGCATCTTCAGCGACAACATACCAGACATCGCATCTCTTACAAGGGTAAGAAACGACATCCTTCCTCTCATCCTTATTCTCTTCCACCCTTGGAGGTCCTATACTCACAATTGTGGCAGTTTTTCTGAACTTCCTCACTTTCCTAATGATTCTCACTGGATCTGCTTCACCTATCACCGTCACTTTGTTTTTTGAGGGGTCAAGCACAATGGAAGTTATCCCTTCTAACCTCGAAATTAACGCCATCACCTTCTGTCGGCACCTTGAGCAGAGCAGTTCCACTGACACCACAGTTTTCTGCAACACAAAAATGAATCAGAAATCTTTCAGTACTCTTATAACCACATTCTCTCTGAAAAAAGTACTGGGGTGTGTCAGTAAAATGATGAAATGGGCTGAGAAAAGGTCAGAAATTTAATTCAGTAGCAATTAAAGGCACCACAGAGAAAATGTAAAAACCAAAACACATCCAAAGGAGTACGGGAGATTGGACCTTAGACATGATTCTTGATACAAATATGACACAAAAATATGACTCCACAAGGCAAAACCAGATCAAACTACAAGAAGCTATGAGATGAAAAGTTGGTCTAGTTTTGATTTGGTTTTAATAAAGCATATTTTTGTATGCTCTTTCCTATGTTCCAATCTGAAGTTCGTTGAAGGCCAAAAGGAGTGACACGTTAGTGGGTGGCTAGAATTAAATGCCAGTCAGAAGGGTTCTTGATTGAATCACCTATGCTCTGAAAAACACATTCAATGCTATCTCCAGATTCCAGGCCAAAATATAGCTCCACTGAGTAACCCACCTATTTATCTATCTGTAAAAAATTATCTGTAAAAAAAGTTCCCAATAGTGATATATAAATTGACACATTCAATAACAAGAACATCAGCAAGTTACTCCCACTCCCCAGTGAAAATCCTTCCAGTTGACAAATTATGGTTTTGTTAAGACATGGTAATGTGGCTTTGGTCCGGCTGTTTGTAAAATTTGATAATGAACCAATTTTACAAATGTCTTGGTCAATTGGACATAAGATAGTAAATGCCCTTCAGTGGGGTCGGTGAATGGGCACGCTTGACCCACCTCTGCAATCTATTTAATCCCTGTTTGTCCTACTCAACTTTGAGAAGTCTTACAGAGTCCAGATCAAGAGAGGATAGAGGGGGAGAGAGAGACACCTTGTAAGAGCTGCAGGTCCTAATTTTGAAATTGTTATACCAAGGCCCCATTTATTTTACCGATTCGAGTTTTGCTACAGTAAAAAGCTTTAAGAAACAGTCACATCTAACTTTTTTACAGTAAAAAGCTCTCACATAAAATCAGATCTTAACTCGAATTAAAAACTCGAATCGGCAAACTAAATGTGCCTCAAGTGTCTTACTATGATTCGACCAAAAAAAAAAAAAGGTGTCATCTGAGTCCATAACACTTGTTCTAGTAATGGCTAATCAAAAACTGCGTGGCTGTTGGCTCCAATAATACTGCACAGCCTTCCCAACTAGATAGAAAGGGGGCTGCTGGAGGCTCAACGAATCCTCAGTTATATGCTCCCCAAATATGAATTTTATCAGTGTAGTCCCAAATATGGACTCCAGACGCCAGACCCAAGTGGGAAATTCTGCGTTGTACTGCCCAAAATTTAATCAGTTCAGTTATCTTCGAAACTACCTTTCAAATCTCTTAAAGGGTAATAAGAAAACTTAAAAAATCAACTAACCATAAACTATTAATGGAAAAAGCAACAAACATATATTAAATGAAAACAAAGTAGAGTAAGACTTTCAAGATCATTGAATGAGTTTTTGTCACTAATAGCAAAATTATCCCCTTAAACAATAAGGAATTATTCCGAGGAACCTTTTTGTGCGCTGATAGAGAAACCTATACTGTCCTTGTGATCCACCTGTGGTTCAGAATTTCAGACATGGCCATCAATGCAGATTAAGCTCATTAGGCACCAAAACCAGGCCCCAGAAACAAAGTGGAGTTTTTACACAAAGAAGTTGTATAATCAAAGCTATCCACTATCACTGAAGAAAACATAAAGGTCTTAACTATAACCAAATTGATATCAGAGATTTTCCTTTCCAATAAAGATAATTAGCAATTCATACGCCTGGTACAGTAAAGGATGATTATAGGATAATCACATTTCCTTGCCACTAAATAGTTTTAATATTATAGAGCGTCATTAAGCTAAAAGCTACCAAAATTCTGTTAAAAAACTATTCTGCCAGAGACAAACTTTTAGTATTGAGTTATTTTTTCACACACGTACTCAGTTGTCAAACACCTTAGTCATTCTTTTTTCTTCGCATTCAGTAAGTATCATGGTTAACTTGAAAGTCCAGCTGTAGAAATAAATATGTGCATGTGGGCTTGGGATGGAATCACAGTGAAGTAGTTCATACATCACTATCCTGTAGAGGCCCAAAAGTTGTGTTCCGTCATTTTCTCGTCCTCTCTCATTGAATTCCCATAAACTTAGATAGCAAGGTACCAACTTAAGCCTACATATGAAACCATATGGCAGATAATGCATATAGCAACGTGCTGTTGTGAATCACTACAATTGTGCAACTAATATGATGCTAAATGCACCAAAAGAGTTCGATATTATTTTGAAAACATGCGCCTCCAAATAATATTTGACTTGACTCTGAGACTAAAACTTGCAATGATCAATTGTATAAAACAAATTCCTTTTATTAATGAATGTTTGTAATGCAAGGCACTGTACTGCAATAAATTCATATTCCACAAAAGTCAACATATTAAAAAAAAGAAAAAAAAAACATAACTCTGTCAATGGGGAAAAAACAAAAAAAACTAACGGTCCAAGTGGCAACAATAACTCTGCTAAGTAACCAGGAAAGACAAGGTAAAACATGCACATAAACAAAGGATATCCAATTATCCATCCGCCCCTAAAAAGAAACAAAGAATAAAATAGGTCTCTAAAAAATTGCAGTCCCCATCTGCACCCCAATTACAACAATATAGGGAAAAGATTGACTTATCAAGGGACTTGCATTTACCATTTAGATTTTCAGTATGCGTGCTCCATGGCATTGAATTAAACCTCACAATGAATTTCCATAAACCTCTAAACTCGTAGCTTTAGCTGCTTCCTGCTTTGCTTCAACCATTCGAGTGTAGCAGCTTACAATTTTCTTGTCTTTTTCATAGTATTCTTTCATCTTCCCCAAAGGTTTCAAATCCAGGTCAATGAAACATACCTACAAAAGTACGTTGCTCAAATAAGATATTGTGCCAAGAAAAGAGGCTTCTACAAGAATTTCAACTACCACCTTAGTAAATTCACTAAGTTCAGCACCATAATTCCCAGGATCCAAGTAGTAAAATTTAAGCTTATTACCAGGGCACCATTTCAGCCAACGTTTTGCACATTCGCTTTATTGAAAATGTTGAATACAGAGGCAAAATATGAGTCATAGCTGAAATTAAAAAGTATTCGGTGGCCAAAAGCAGATGTGTTCATTTAAAGTAAGAGTTCTCTTAACATTTTACAAAGTTACATAATCCCATAATCAAGTTATGATTTAAAACTTCCTAAGTGATAATCTGTCTGTAAAAGAAAGGGGAAAAAAAAAAGAAAGAAATTGACCAAAGTCACCAAACTGCATTATTGTGATATTATCTAAGTACTTATGGTCATAATAAATCATCTAGATGACTTTGAAATTATGATAAACTTGCACATTATAAAAGGAGAGTCTACCTTGTAATCAAAAGTTTGGTTGGTTGATTTCAGGGACACACTATTATAAGAAGATTCTGAAATTCCTTCTTTCCTCAGTCTAAAACTCATCATCAAACTACAGTCCTTTGCTGTTGCAGCTATCAAAAAGTTCTTTACAATCTTCAAGCTTTCATCCAAAGAAATGGAATGCAAAGAACTATATCTGTGGGCCACTTTTTCTTCCTCCAAGTCTCTGCATACCATGCAAGGCTCGGATATAATGTTATAATATGCATGAATAGCCCCCTCTATGTCAATATCATCAAGCTCTTGGACCTTTAGAAGCCTATCCATCACTCCGGATGTATAAATTGTCTCAGAAAGAAGCTGCAGAAAAGCCTTTGTGCGCAGACCCTGATCCCCCCATATGACACCCTTGAGTGCAACTTCAAATGCTTCTTGAATCACAAAGTTCGTACTGTCTGCAGTAGCACCCAAGGCTCCAAATATTAGAGAACCATCCAAAAATACACGAAAATTATTCTGAGGGCTGGAGAAGAGATCTTTGATAGCTTTATGTATTTTGTCCTTGGATCCAGAGAACAGGTCAAGAGGATCATAGTCACTAAATGCTGAAATCTGCAATAGAAGTTAGAAAATGTACTAAAGTTACAACATGCAAATAGGTTTGTCATCATTGAACAGAAATCTCATCAAGAATCGAGGTACAAGACTCATAGTAATAAACAACAGCTTCACAGTGAAATCTTAATCATACTTCACAACTTGAAGGTAACAAATGCAGTTAAACAGTACCTCTCCTTCATGCAACTTGAGGGATTGGTGCATCCTGTAACGAGGTACGCTTCGTTTAATGGCATTTCCTTCACCTATAAACTCTGAGATGGGGAGGAATCCACATTTGGGCTATGTTTCGGAACAAATATGACGAAAATGGAATAGAAGAGAAAGTCACGCAAATTAAGCTACAATGGAATTGTTGAAAAATAAGAATAAACATCAGCAAAGATTTTATTTTATTATTTTTTTAAAAATAAAAAAAGTTTACTCCTAACGGAAAAGAGAGAGGGAAACCACTGCCTAAAAATTAATTAAAAAAAAAACCACCTTTATCTCCACGCATATGCAGGGTTCACCTTCTGGGGTACCTGAAATGGAAAAGGAGGAATAAACTATCAACGTCTAGAATATTATACCCAGGATAAAGTAATTCTTGCAAAGTTTCTTTCCCCACTTCCTAAACTTTTTCCTTCATTTTAATGGGCAGAAGTTTCACAAGTTTCACCTCATACCCAGAGAATAAAAAGAGACGATGAACTTTTATGCTGGAGCAATTGAAAAGAAAACATAGTCCAAGCCACTATACTATCTAATTATCACTAGATGGTGCAAAGTATGAAGGAGACTAATAAATCTTCAAGCGCAGGATAAGAGAATGATCAGATATCAGAAGCATTATGCGTATTAGTAGACTGATTTTGTGATTACCACTGGGAAATAAAGAATGATCAGATAATAGTAGCACGGAATCCCAATGTGTGTCAACTTTGGCAGCATCAACTCGCAAAGCAGGACGCTGACAAATTACATTAGTCTCAATCGTTTCCAAGAATTCCCTCGAAGCAGGGATGCGCACCTGCCAAATTTCAAATTTAGCATACACCCAAAAAAAAAAGAAAAACACTCAGGGACGTTGACCCCCCGGAATTCCTTCTAAGAGCTTGTTGAATAATTTTTATGGATTGTCATTTCACCAATTTGGACATATATGATCGCTTCAAATGGTTTCATATGATCGTTTCAGTTTCAAATATGATCGTTTCAAATATTTCTGACATGACTGGGTACAACAACAATGGGGATACCAGCTCCCACAACAATAATGTTTTTTAACTACCTAGAATTGGGTCTCGTCCTTTCTGTTACGTCTGTCGACATCAAGATTTCTTCTATAGACGAAGGGGATGGGGACGGCAAAAAAAATTTGTTTTAACTATCAATTTTTCACACAGGAGCCTTGTTTAAATTCTAGAAAAACCGGTAATGTGTTCAAATAATGATATTACTGAAAGAGAAGCAGCAAAAATGATTAGAATCAAACATACCCCAGCATCTACGTATTTGGAACCCAGTAAAGGGCTTATAACGTGCTGAACAAACAGTTGGCAGGCAACTTCTTTGTTGGTGGAGGAGACAAGGTCCTCTGTGTCTTTCCACACAAGACGTTCATGCAATGTTAAAGCTGTACGGCTCTTTGTACTCTCCAATTCTTTCCTATCAGCCTTCTGTATCCGCAGTACTTTCCCAATCTACAATACCAACATAATATAACATCAAAATATGGTTTAAAAAAATTCTCTCAGACTTTATTATTATTATTATTATTATTCTAGGTTAGTTATTCTGCATGGTGTACCACAATAAAATTAGCAATACGGCGTCAAAATGAAACAAAATTAATTTCGATGAATATTCAGTTTTGCCATAATTCAAAATACCAAAAAAAAAAAAAAGCAAAATGAAAATACGTACAAAAGCGGGAGAGGATCCGGTGTAAGCGAGAACAAGATTAGCAGCGCCTTCGCCTCTGTATGCCCAATCGGCAGCATCTTTTTTATCTAAAATCACCTCCATTCTCCCAATCTTCTTCCTGCTCTCAGATTCACTTCGTAATTTCCGCCACATGAGAGAATTTTCGAGAAAACCAAAAATATAATTAGGGGAGTCAATTTTCAGAATGAGAAAAGGAGAGAGAATCTTTCTGTAGGAGCTTGAAAGCGAGAAAGCTTTTCACACAGTAAGAACTAGAAGTGGCGCTAAATTGGCTTGTCTGTTTATATCTTACGCCAGCTTTTAAACCCAATCAAAACCTGATTTCTAATTATCTAGTTGGTAATTGTTACCTTAAAAATAAATAAATACACACACACAAATATATATATATATATATGCATAAAGCATAATCAGTTCTTAAATTACTATAGAATCTGATTCTCAAAAAAAGTTTAAAATCTTTTGTGGAAATTAGCTTAGTAAGGACCTCGATCCAGTCTGGTCGTCTGCGAGACGAGCGAGAGAGAGCGCGACTGCGAGAGAGAGTGCGAGGGAGGAGAGAGAGAGAGAGCGCGTGTGAGATTTCTTCTTTTGAAATTGGTTTTTAGAACTTCAGTTGGAACTAAAAACAAGCATTAAATTAGAAAAAACAAATTTTAATTTTTAAGAATAATGCTATTTATTAACTAACTAAAATAATTATACTACTTTGCTTTTATACTACTTACTACTTGAGCTTAAACAATATGCTATGTACTGTGCCTTCTTTCAAATCAAAATCTGCTATATTTTTAAACTGGGCTTGAAAATATGCTATATTTTACTTGGAAATTAAACAAGAAAAAAGATTATTTGCACAAATAATCTTTAATAATTTTTATTTTTAGACTAAATATAGCACAAGTAAAGTATAACGAGCTGGGGTTTTATGAGAGATTATAAATAGTAAAAGAAACGTATTAGTGACATACTTTGATTTTTCTATTTTCATACTTCTTTTCTCATAACTTTTTTTTATTATGTTATTATTTTGAAACCTTTCCATATCATTATTATGTTAGATTCATTCTGAAACTATATAGTTTATTAATTAAAGAGTCAAAATTGTATATTTAATTAACCAAGTAAACATTTGATTTAAGCCTTATTCATTTCACAACTCAAGTTTTATTGTTACAGTGTTTTCTCTCACAAAACTTTAAATTTAACTTTTTTATTACAATACTTTTCTCTTACATACGCAACTCAAATTAAGGTGAAACATATCCACACACACAAATAACTGGACAACCATGGAAGGAATAGATAGCGAAAACTTAATACACAAATAATCATAATTGCAGTCATAGTTGATCATAATTAAAGAGATTATTTCAAGAGAACGATAAAGTTCAAATTTAGAGAAAATGAAAGGAAAAAAAAAGTAGGCGAGTGTTGAGAATAAGAGACTGTAGCAAAATAGATAATGCAGTAAAAAAGAAATAAAGAGAAAAAAGGTAAAAAAGTCATTTGTTAAATATAATGACAGACAAAAAGACTTAAAAAAAATAAAAAGAGGGGAAAGAGGACAAAAAAGTAAAACACAAAAAAATAAAGTTAAAAAGAAATAAAGATTTATGTAGTTTTAAGGATAACAAACTATAATAAACAAATAGAGTCAAACAAAAAAGGAAAAAAAAAAAAGTAATGCAAGAGAAAGAAAGTAACGAAAGGGGTTAAAAATTAGCAAAATGAAGAAAAGGAAAAAAGGGAAAAAAACTAACTGTGCGTTTTGACAGTAATTTCCTTTTCCACTCTTATATATATACTAATCAAAAACACACACTTCGTGCATGTAACTTATTTAACGCAACAGTTAAACAAATTGCTTGGAAAAAAAAAAAAGAGGAAGAAAAAAGAAAGGATAAAAGAAATAAAAACAAAAGTAAGAAAAAAAGACCCGAAGTAAAATATACGGAAAAAATTAAGAAAAAAAATTTGAGCGAAATGTTTTGCAACTGAAACTGAAATTTATAAGGATCACAAATAAAAAATGTTTATGTATGGATACATTTAAGAATAAATTAATTTAACAGAGTAATTAGAAAAAAAATATTTTAAATAACCGTAAAAAGAGTATTTAAAGGAGATAATTTGAAAATATATAAAAATCAAAGGTTAAAAAATGTAATAAAAAGATGAGGGAGGAAAAAAAAGAAAAAAAAAACTTAAAAAAATTTAAAAAAAAAAACTAAAATTTTTTTTTTTAAAAAAAAAGGAGGGGGTAATGAAACGCCCCCTAGAAACTTATTCTCAATTTCAGGAGAGAATAGATATAGTAGAAGTAGAAATATTCTTAGGCCATGTGGTCTCTCTCCACATTTATCTTTCATTTATAGTACTATACATAAGAATATCATATAAAGAGATCGATAGAATTCTCCATCTTCAATTATTTGAGTTGAATTCCATATTTGTGATTTCCATGCTTCAACATTTTTTATTCCAACACTGTAATAAAAGAATGGAGATAGGAGAATAAGATATTATACCATTTGATGATTATTGTAATGTGATGCTAAAACTGTAAATATTAAATAATATAAAATGGATCCGTAATAATGAAAGTTGAAACGAAGAAAAGTTGTGCATATCATTCTTATTCTATGATCACATACACACACACACACACACACACATATATATATATATATATATATAAATATGTATGCATCAAGGGAAGATAGTGATATGATGCTGTAACGAATTTGATTCCTTTCACGGTCAAATGGACTCAGCAATATTATGAATGTCAATTGCATGTGTACATCATGCAGACGACATTAGATTATTATTTTTCCCTCTTAAGAAGAATAAGTGTACAAAAAAATTGTACTTAAACCTCACTAATCTAATGATTCAAACTCATTTTTCACTTAAATCTAATGGTTTAAGTTTAGTCCATTTAGCTTTTTTATCTTCTCACACCTCACACTCTTACAGGGTAATATGAAAAAAAATTATAATACATGCTAAATTGTTTTTGTACTACAACCAACGGTTCATCATTTTAACATATAATGCATAAGGGAGAAACAAGTATATTATATACACGACTTAGTTGAAAAGTTAAACCTCTTCATAGAGTTGCAAGTTTGAGCTGGGCTAAACGGGTCGCTATAAGGTCTGTTATTGTTGGTTCAGACTCAGTCGGACCCGGTCCTAAATATTTTAGACTTAAGGCCGGGCTGGGTCAATCCTTTTTCTTTTAGGGGTGAGACATCATATTTTTAAAGTTTTTTTTTAAATATCTTATAAAATTTCTAGTCAAAGTCGGATTGATCCTACACTCCTAATTCATGTACTTTTAAATAATATTTGTTAAAATAACTTTAAACTTTTAAGACTGTGCCGAGTCAAGTGACTTAAACTTACCCCTCTACCTCTTGAGCATTTCAAGCAGGTAATACTTTCTTTTTAAAAATAATGATATCAAAGAAAATGGGGGAAGTTAGACAAGTTCTGAAACTTTTTGTTTAATATTTGCAAAAGAAATTTCAGCATTTTATCAAAAAATAAAATATAATTTTTATTTTACTAATCATATAAATAAGATTATGGTAGCCCAAAAAAGCTCATACTATTAGTTGTTTGAAGTATCTCATAAATGAGAATGATTCGTATTCTCATGTTTAATATAATTATTAAACTTTTTTAAAACCTAAAAAAATAAAATCTGTGAATTTCATATTACTATATTTTAAGGTAATTTTAAATCCACCTAATAAAATGTTATTCACTTTTTCAGAAAAATAAGGAAAAAATTATACAACATCTGCCATAATCTCTCTATTACCCATCTCTTCCCAATCCATCCGCATATCTCTCGTCCAGCCTGGTTGAATCTCTTCCGTCAACCACGCTGCCGCCGCCTTCCGATCCACCGTGCCGTAGCCGCCTTCCGATCATTCCTCTCTCCGACCATTCCTTCCGCCGTCGTCATCGCCGTCGTCATGGCACGAGTCGTCATCGCCATCGTCGCGTGGAAAGACCGTTGTCGTTCTCATTCGCTTCGGACGTCGTCGTCGCTCGAGGAAACGTCGCCGTGAGATCTGGTTCGTAGATCGGCATCGCGAGATCTCTTCCTTGCAATCTCATCGTTCTCGTTAGCTCCAGACGTCGTCCTCACTCAGGGAAACGTTGCTATGAGATCTAGTTCGAAGATCGGCATCGCGAGATCTCTTCCTTGCGATCTCGGTGAATTTCGGCCGAGAAATGACTTACAATATGCTTAAAGAATTTTTTAATAATTTCTTTAAAAAAAAAAAAAATTGGTAGATGGTACAGCTTAAATCTTGTTTCTTGATTTATTGTTGATGGAATTTTCAGTTTTCTTGCATTTTAGTAGTTGAGAAATTGACGGTGTTGGTTGTTTCCAGCATTTGTCCAGGACTTAGATGATGATTAATGAATTTTGTATTTCATAAGCTGAGACCCCATTTATGTGTTTGATTTTAAGCCCACGAGAGTTTCTGGGTCAGCTTTTTATCCTTACCGACCTCCTCTCTCTCTCTCTCTCTCTCTTCTCTTCGGCACTCTCCGGTGAACTGTTTCTTCCCTTTGCCGCTCTCCTACAATCAGTCTCTTCCCTTCAGCGCTCTCTGGCGAACTGTTTCTTCCCTCCGCCGCTCTCCCACGACCACTCTCTCTTTCCTCCGGCCCTATAACGCAATATCTCTCTTCCCTCTGCATCTCTTTCTCTCATCCCTCCACCAATCTCAGATTCTCGTCTGCCACCGTTTCTCTCTCTTCTGTCCGCCACTCTCAGAAACCTCACCGGTGTCGTTAGACGAGAAATCAAAGATGGACCAAAGACGTCAAAAATTAACAAAAGAATAAGGTAAATCCGTTAATCACTAACTGATAAACCACTAATTCATTTGAATATGTTAATATTGATTGACAGACTTTTAGCTTATGTTTGAGATTGACACTTGAATGAAAAGGTTGTAAAGAGGTCATTATTCAAAAATTAAGAACATGAGCTCGTTACTTTTTGTTTTCCTGTAATTGGAACCTATCGTATAGTAAAGCTCTATCCATAACTCGACACAACTTTAAAAATCAAGTTATGGTCAAGTTATGATCATAACCTGTCGAGTTATGTTATTATTGAAACTGAAAATTACAAGTGCAGGAACACTGTCAAGTTATGGTCATTTTGAGAGAAATAAATCATGATGAAGTTCAAAGAGAAATGCCACCAGCAGCATCAACAAAACTGAACAAGATGAAAATTGATTTAAGTAATTTGCTTAACAAAGTAAAACATTTTGAAGCCAACCATGTAGCCATGAAAGAAGATCTGAAAGAAATAAAGGCAATGGTTGTAGATTCTATGGACATTATGAGAACCATTCAACAAGATGTGCTTCTGTTTCTCAAGGAAATACAAAACAATCCAGCTTCTGAGGTAATGAAACAACGCAAATTGATGTTGAATTTATTTTTGCAATGTTTCCTTAATGATATACTAATTTGTACCTCAATGAACAGGAGGACAGAGAAAAAAAAGTATCTGCAGAGCTAGGAGAACATGAGGAAGAATTCGGTTATACTCCACTTATAGACTCGTTTGATATCAGTCAACACACATTGGACATAACATTTGAAGAAGCTGAAAAGATAATAGTGATGAGAAAAGCTGCTGCTTAAGGAATAAAAAATGTATGAATCTTCTTAATATTACATTAATACTAGTTGAGAAAAAAACAAAAAAAAGTTTCTTACAACTAATCAAAAACTTGTTATAACCCATTTACCCAAGATGTGATAGAGGTGATTGATGGGTTGTAAACGATTACAACCTTTAATAACCCATTTACTCTACGAGTTTTGCAGGTTGACACTTAATGATCTGCTTAATAAATGAGTTGGTCGTGTCCGTATTAATCAATTAATTAACGAGTCGTGTTTAAATCTTATCTTTGGACACGATTATTAAATGGGTTATGAGGTTATAGTGTTAATTGAAGAACATGACATGACGCGAACATAACATGAATTGTCGGCTCTACTTTCTATCTAAAAGTATATCTTCTCTTTTTTTTTTCCTTTTTCTTTTTCTTGGTGCGTCTATAAGTATACTAGTGTACGGCCATACTCGATATACACAGCATAAAGATAGTCGTCCCCCCTCTCTTTTTTTTTTAGGGGCTCAAGTAGTGCTTTGAGGAAATTGTTGTGTGGAAATTAATTGTGGACCTCTAAATGATGAATATTTTTTTTTTTTTCAAAAAGTAATTATTAGTAACCATGAAAAGTGAATACATTTGGAACCACAAGTTTTATATATAAAAGTTACGAATTTACAACAACGTGTTCTTTTTCCTTTTTCTAACACAAATTTAGACCGTTGAACTGGACTGGACCCAAGGGCATGTGGGGTTTAGACGACATAATTTCTTTTAGGGCTCTTGGTAATTGGATCTTCTTCTTCAGGTGTCTACTTATAAATAGTGGAGCCATTATTGAGCTCTTTATCAGCGTTTTGGTCAGCTGGTAGTAATCTCTAGACATAGATCAAACTAATCTATATCCAGTAGAAGTCCGCGTATATATACACACTTACACACGTATAATATATTGATTCATTTGTTAGGAGTTAGGTTCAAACAGAACCTAAACCTTGGAGATCATGGAAGTGGCGCAGGTACTTCACATGAACAAGGGCTCTGGCGATACTAGTTATGCCAAAAACTCAACGGTTCAGGTTAGTAATACTGATCATACCCTTTTTAAGTTGTAAAATGTACATTTCAGTTGAGATTATCAAGTCTGCAGTACTATTCAGTTTATAGAATATATACATATGTATATATATGTATGTATAATTAAATACATATATGTGTTCCATGAGGATAGAAAATTGAATTTTCTATTTAGAATACATGCATAAGTATGCGCCTCATGCAGATTGGCGCAGAATATAAATATATTGCATTTAATTCTCCATGTGTACGTACTACTTATATGTGTGCGTGTGTGTCATACTTTATTCAGAAGTAGTCAGAACGTTATATATATATGTGTGTGTGTGTGTCTATGTGTATGTGTATATATATGTGTATATGTGAGTTCGGTGATGATCATCAATTGCATATAAGTCCGTAATAAACCGTGCACCTGTTAATTCAACAATATTATCCAATTTAATTTGTTTTATTAAAATGTTTCATCTTTCTGTACTTCTTTTCGTGTTCGTCGAGTATATATCTGTGCGACTAGCTAGTGAAAGGGATCAGAAAAATTATTTTGCTGATAATTATTATATCTGTCAAGTACTATAACATAATTATAAAACGCTGAAATATATATGTCTAATGTGTATCCTTAAGTTTTAGAGCAAAATAATCTCCATAGCAAAGCCAGTGATCGAGGAAGCCATTCTGAAATGTTTGGAGGAAAGCCTTCCGGAGAGCATGGGAATAGCAGACTTGGGTTGTTCGTCCGGACCAAACACATTGATTGTTATGTCGGACATAATCCAAGCCATACATGCCAAATGCTGCAGCCTTGGCCGCTCTTCACCGGAGCTCACACTCTTCTTAAACGACCTTTTCAACAACGACTTCAATAACATTTTCGCGTCGTTGCCAGCATTCTACAACAGAATAAGGGAAGACAGCAGTATCCGATTTAATAGATCGTGCTTTATCTCCGGTGTGCCGGGGTCTTTTTACGGTAGATTGTTCGCAAGGAACAGCTTGCATTTCGTGCATTCTTCTTCCAGTCTCCACTGGCTTTCTCAGGTACCATTTTTTTTTTTTTTTTTGGAAGGTATGCAAATTATTTTTGCAATATATATTATATGACATGGTTCTTTATTTGTTGAATACATTAATTTTTCCCAAGTAATTAGTCGTTAATTGATACCTTTTCGAAATGGGTTATAGACTAAACATGAAAATTCTCGTGCGTAGAGCGCAAGCATGTTCATCCCTTGAGTTTTAGAATGGAACAAAACTTAATGAAAAATTTCTTGTACAGTGAAATTATAGCTTCACTTGTTTTCGAAACTGTAGCAATCAAGCCCCACTTTCATATTATCAAGGAATAACGTCGGGGGAATATTTGTACGATACAATCAATTTATTATAGAAAAAATCAGTGAACTCACTTTTTGAATCTATTATTCTAAGATTTTTATCATTTATTCCTGATCAATACTCTTTTGATTAATATAATTTTTTGACCAAAAGTATTAATCAAGATAAGGGGTGAAAATTTAAGATCCATACATTTTAAGGAGTATTTATCTCCTTTTCCTTTTATTATAGTGCAGAGATTGTATGTGGTCAATAATCTTTTCGTTGTAGTTGTCAGTTGTCAATACTAGTCACCAATCATGTTATAACAAACCTATAATTTTGATACCAAGGTTTAGTGACGTCTTAGTGGTAATTTATTGTGATAATTAGGTCTTTGGTCAAAAGTTCGAGTTTAAATGAAGAGTAATCTCGTAACTTTTTCCTGCTAGCTCAGTACCTAATTTAGTTGAGACCACGCCACCACATAACCCAATTGTTATATCACTCGGTGAGGAGGTAATGCGATCCTCATCGATAGGTATAGTAAGACCCGCCGCTAGGCTCCTCAGCACACATTCGTGTTAGCATTCGGACAACCCCTATCGTAATATCCATAAAGAGTATACTAATACCAGTTACCCCTTTTCCAAACTTGTGTTAAAAAAAATAAAAATAAAAATAAAAAAAAATAAAAAAAAAACTATAATTGTGACCACCACCCACTAGACTCTCGAAAGGACATCTTTCTTGGTTTGTCTCACCACTACTTTTTTAACTTATTCGAACTTAGAATAAAGAGCTTATCAAAATATGCTTAATTTAATCAACTTGTGAATGATGCCAAAACCATTCATAGTCAGTACTTGAGAGGTAAATTATCAAAAATAAAGTTGGAAGGAGATAACTGATGGAAAAAAAAGTTGACGTGGTTACTGAAAATGACATACATTGTTGGCCAAATGAAATGAATCAAAGCATGAAAGTCAATGCATACCGTGATCACATCCGCTAATTAAGGAACATGCTAGATCGTGCACGTATGCGCGCATGCATATACATATATACATATATGTATTGTCTGTATTTATGTATAACATTTTGGAGAATTTCTCTTCGTGCTGTAAATTTACTAAATTGTAGCACATAGTTTTTATGAATACAAAGCATTCCATACGTTATTAATTCGCAACTGACGAACATGTATCAATTAGGCGAGTTTCTACATAGATTTGAGCTATATATTAAACATGAGACTGAAACAAGAAAACTATATTGATGGTGGCCTCCACCACACGCACGCACGCACGCACATATCCCTGGATGTCGTCTAACAAGAAACTCTCATAAGATACTGTCTAGTACAGGTTCCCCCAGGCCTGGAAAGCAACGCCAGAACGGTGTTAAACAAGGGAAAAATTTACATATCAAAAAGCAGTCCACAGTGTGTGTTGGATGCATACTCAAAGCAATTTCAAGAGGATTTTTTTCTGTTTCTGAGGTCTCGCTCCGAAGAAATAGTAGTCGGAGGACGCATGGTCTTGTCCTTCATGGGCAGAAACTCCTCCGACCCCACCACAGAAGATAGCTGCTATCAATGGGAGCTCCTAGCCCTTGCCTTGATGACCTTGGCTTCCGAGGTACAATATATATTCTTGATTTTGTCCGTCCTAAACCCATTTTAAACTCACCTTATGATTAAAATTTGTCTCTTCATTAATATCCAATAAAATTGGAACAATACATAGAAGTATTAGCATGATTCCTGAGCGTACAAATTGAGTCCTATCTTTGCAACTTGAGCTTTTTAATTTGACAATTTTTAGATATCACGGCAAGCTATATGATTGCAGAGTCTAATAAAAGAAGAAAATGTTGACAACTTTAACGCGCCGTATTATGCTCCGTGCCCGGAAGAATTGAAGTTGGAGGTAGAAAAGGAAGGGTCTTTCATTGTGGAAAGATTGGAAGCTCTCCCAATAGATTGGGATGGTGGTTCTACTGAAGAATATTGCGTATATGACACACTTGAAGCACTATATAAAGCAAGAGGACAGCGAGTGGCGAAGTCAATAAGAGCCGTGGTTGAGTCAATGTTGGAAGCCCATTTCGGTAAAGAAATAATGGACGATTTGTTTCGGAGATACCAAGACTTGGTGAGCAATTACTTCGCAACATCTTCTACCAAGTATATAAATTTGGTCATTTCCCTAATGAAAAGGGAGTAATTTGTTCAGTTGAGTTTAGTATGCGTATATATAAGTCGTTTTAATGGTTGCTCCTGATAATATATTTATTCATCAGTGAATATTATTATTTTAACCGTATGATATAGATCCGACATGTATAAAACTAATACCTGCCTAGTGGCCCGGTTCAAATTTTTTATATTTAAAAATTATATATAAATTGGTATTATATAAAAATGAGCCCCAAATTATATATATGTACTATATAATAATGATATAAAATAGCCCCACTAACAAATTAGGTAGTTCTTGAGCAAAATAAATAAATAAATTATATAGTTGATTAAAATAATATATAACAATTAGAGATTGAATTCTTATTACACTGCATTATTAAATTTTTATGGATAACCGTGAAAATGTAACCATTCAAAATTTATATTAGTTTGATCTGAAGAGTCGGCAATTAAGTTGGTTTCAAATAGTGTTATTGAGTGAATATTAAAAAGGTAGCATAGAAATTCTAATATATTCAAGAGTTTGCTCAGTTAAATTGGATGTCCTTCTGAATCCGAAAATGAAAAACAATACCATATATGCAAACGACAAACAAAGATTAGCGATATGAGAGTAAAAAAAAGATCATAACAAGAACGGTAGTGAATATAACCACAGTAAGATTAGTAAACAACAACAAAACTATATATGAACAACAACATTAATAAACGACAACAAAAATATATGACGACAAGAATATACGTCAAAACATTACATGTAAATTGTCATCAAGACCACTATAAGTTAGAAGCGACAAAAGACTTAGAACGCCATTAAAGCTAACAACAAAATACCTGCAGACGACAAGAGAAAGAAAAAATGTACGAAAAAACTAAAAAGGAGAATAGTCGAACAGAAGATGCTGAAATCTATATGTAAAAGGAAAAACGAAAGCATTAATAGAAAAAGAATACTTTCGGCACAACAGATGTTGAAACGAAAAAGAAACTAGGTAGCAATAGACCGGGACGATAAGAATATAGGATTCAAACAACAAAATGTTAAAAAAAAAAAAAAAAAACGACAACGAAACGGAAAGCAAGAAAAGAGGGAGAACGTCAATAAAACTTGTCAACGACCAAAAGATGGAAAACGATAAAGGAAATTAAACAACAACATTAATACCTGAAACCAATAGAAAATGACGACAATAAATTTGGACAATTGATAACGGAAATGCAAATAGTTTGTAGGAGAGAAAACGAATAAAAAAGAATGTTGAATAACGTCAAATTAAAGGGAAAAGGATAAGAAACACTGGAAAACATAAATATTGAAAACAGCATAAGTTCCTCAAGCAACAATAAAAAAGCAAGAGACAACAAAAATAAACGACAATTCTCATGCGGGTGCGAAGTCGCGAAGTGCTGAGAGAAAAAAAAAAAAATATATATATATATATATATAAATAAACTACAATAACAGAAACAAACGACAAAAAAGTCTAATTGAAAATAAAATGTAAAAATATAATTTTTTTGAGATAAAAAAAGAAAATGACAATAACAGAAACAAACGACAAAACATTCTAATTGAAAACAAACTTTAAAATATAGACAATAACAGAAGAAACGACAAAACAGTCTAATTTTAAAAATAAAATTTGAATATATATTTTCTTGAGATAAAAAAAAAAAAAGAACTTTGAAAACAACAAAATAATACAGAGACTGACAGACGGCAACACAATTAAAAAGAAAAAAAACGAATACGGACCCAATTTCCTTATTTCCAAAATTTTACTAAATTTTTTGTTTTTGTGTTTGACTTCCAAGTCAATATTGTAACCTACGAGACAACAAGAGGGTTTGACTTAAATATGTCTTAGAGAGATTCAAACCCTCTATTTAACTAATGGTGTTCTAAATGGCATTTAAACCAACCACATTATATCAAATTATTTAATAGATTAGGATGAAGAGCGTGTAAAAATTAATTAAAAACCGTTTCAAACTTTTTAAATAAAGCACTATAGTGTAATGGGTTAGATATTTTATGAGACACAGAGCATCCTTTGAGTTCAGTTTAGAGACAGCCCATTACATTTTTCTGCTTCATTGTTTGTTGGCGTCATCATCGTGATAATAGTATCCCTGCTTCGATGTGGACCAAGTTCTCCCATTTTTGTCTTCTGAAATCCAACTAATTAAAAATGTTCGCGCCCAAGAGGTGCAATAAGTAATCAAATAGCAGAGTACGTAGCCAAATTAAAGTTTTCCAATAGAAATAAAATGATTTATGCTTTTTGCAACCATTACTTGTTAGGAATACGAATATGGAACTAAAGATCAATAAATAAAAATGATTTAAAAAAAGAACGGTACTAATTTCTATGAAAAAAATAGCTCTCTATGTAGCATAGAGATTGTATGATCATATGCGAATGAGATTGTACGAGTTTCTCAAATCACTTGTTCGATTTAGATTTCATATTTATGGTAGCGGTTTTTCAACCTTTAGTAATACACAAAGAAACTATTCATGTGGGAATATATGCTTTCAGTTTCCATCGTTATCTTAAAAATAATTACCGTGAAAGGATAAGATTAAAACATAAAGAGAACGTTTGTGAATCATCTTGCTTTTATTCAAGAAAATGTTATATGAAGAGAAAATGAGCACACGTACCTACGTTGTGGCAACAAATTTGATGATTCCTTCTACAGTTTAACTGGACCAAGCGAGTTATGAATGTTTTGTCAATTGTACGTGTGGGCCGGGCAGACAAAGTAACAGTTACTAATTGATCAAACATAGAGTGGGGGACACAGAAAAAGCCTAGGCTTTTTCTGTGGTCCTAAACTATATTTATGATCATGGTGAAAGGATTAGTATAACCGGTTAAATAATGAGTATAATTTTTTTTGTATTAAGTCATAATAATTATTATTTTGAGAATTAAAAATTATTTTTAAGTATATAAAAAATAAAACACTGTCATGTACTATTCTAAATAAATATTCATATATGATTAGATGTGCCTATTAAAAAAGAACACGACAAATGTAATTTTTCACGATAATATTATTCATGTTTAAAACGACAGTCGGTTAGGATAGAATGACTGATATAAATAGTAAAAATGATAGTCGTTTATTAATGTGCTTTGTAATATTTTTCATATAATTATTCATGATGGGTGTACATGACAGTCGTTTATTGCTATACTGTTGGGATTTGTTTCTCAATTTGTGTATTGATTCTAATCGTATTTGATTGGCATTATTTTGGAAATGTTTTGCTGGGATGATTGCGTTTGGAAATGTCTATGCAGTTGGCAAGTTTCTTTTGGCAGGTTTCAAAAAATCCAGAAACTTGTTTTAGTTTCTATTTTTCTAAGTCAACTATTGATTCAAAGATGGAAAATTGATTTGATTGATTCTTGATTGAGATTTCATAGTTGGATGATCTTCCTCTGCCTCCTAAGAACATGTCCAGGTTCATATATCAGTTTTGGGAAGATTTCAGAATTAAAAGAAGATTGATTTGTCTGGTTTTGGAAAAGTTGGCCGTAACAGCTATGTTGCAGTTTTGTTGCAACAAGATCTGCAACAGATGTGGTTCAACGAATTAATTGAAGATGTGTCAATCTATTCACAGCTTGCTTATTTATTGAAAGTGTCCCTTAAGTCTCTGTACGCCTCTTGATGAGTTTTTACTGGGTTGTGAGACAGGGGTGAGCACTTGTATTGAGAGAGATGATTTGAGTATTTTTCGGGAGAAAAACTTAGTTGGAGGGATTCTAATGTTTAAAGTCGATGGGATCTCGCTATTCAAGTCCATTGGCAAAATTGCAAGTTCATGGGCGTCTTCTTAGAGAGGGTGTCTCGGGTAGATTAAGTCCAATTGAATTATAAAAAGAGTTCTTAGTGGATTGTTCATCATCTGAGCGTGGCCTCGTGGAATAGGGTGTTACCGAACCGCGATACTATTTCTCTCTTATTCTTTTATTTTATATTTCTGTATTATTCATATTGTCTTAAAAAGTGTTAAAAGACTAAACCCGATACTTACATATACGTTTAAAAACAACTTTTAATTTTTAAAATAATAACTGTTACAACTTTCAACCGATTACGATTGATACATGAACCTGTTACGATAGTACATGAGAAACTTGTCCCCATTTTCAAATTGATGGACTATTGACAACTCCATATATATATATATATATATATATTGTCTTTAATCCGGTATTGTACTTTTTGCCGGATCAGTCAGACAATGAATATCACCCGTGCGATTAAAATTTGATGGCCAGTGATTGTGAAAGGGTAGCCTATGAAGTCTGAATTGTAAATAGGCACACAGGTTCTGAGTTTTCTGACTAAAAAGAAGGCCTATGTGTGTAGGGTCTAGGAATAAAACGCAATAAAGAAACGAAAACCTATGAAAAAAATGAAATATGAAAACGACACCAAATGAAAACGTCGTTTCATATTCATCAGTGGATGCTCGGCACTCTTGCTCCCTCTTGAAGAAAGACTCGGGTAAGATCAAATGGATAGATAGAATAGCTAGAAAAGAGATTTACTTCTTTCTAAATAATTGAAAAGAATTTCGTCCTAAAACTTTACTTGTAAATCGTGACAAAGAAAAGAGAGTTGGGTCATACATCACTATTCATTTTTTTGTTATGACATAGCATAAGTTATCGTATCTTGAAGTCTACTCTCTCTGTTAATGTTTATTGTAGAATTTTTAATCGACATGACAACATCTTTTGTCCTTGTAAAATCAGTAACAAAATATCCCTGAACAAACTAAATATTTAAAACTAATCAAGATCACCCTTCTCAGTTTACATCAAATTTTATTCCAATATAATATACCTAAAAAACTATTTAAAGTGTTCAAATAAATATTTCAATCAAACAAATATTTAATTTTTTTATAAATTTTTTATTTTAAAGTTTAAATTTATTTAATATTTTGCTTTAATAATGTTATAAATCGCTTTTAATATAGTTTAGAAAGGGTAATCTTGATATTTTAAAAAAAATTAATTGCTTGAGAGGTATTTTTGATGGAATTTAGACTTTCTAAGAACTTGAGAGTTTCATTTTAAAAGGTCAACCTATTAAGTCGAGTGACCTAATGTCTTCATAAGTTGATATTATTTT